GGACCACTTTTCGTGGCACACCAACCCCGAGCTTGGGTTGATAGCGAGCTGCTCAAGAAGTGGATTGGTGTGACTATTCCATTTGTGATGCACGGTGAACGTAAATGCTTTGTTGGGACAGCATGAGAGCCCACATATCGAATGCTGTGACAGCTAAGTGCTCTTCGAAAAGTGTTCGATGTGTGTTGTGCCTGGGTGGCCTCACGCCTTACTTGCAAGCTGGAGAAATTGGAATCTATAAGAGTTTCAAGGACCTACTGTACATAGAAATGAGCGCTTAGAAAGAGTCAATCCAACAAAGTCCTCACCCGTATAAAGTCCTCTCTGTCACTTTCGAGTGGCACTATTAAATGAAGTCCGGACTCTAATAGGGCGCATCCGTTAGTTAAGTAAGTAATGAGCGATTTGTAGCTTGCTTCCTAGACTTTTCCTTTTTAGCCAATAATATGCTTATATTTATGCTGTATAGGTTTATAATATCTTATATTTTATGACACTTTTAAATCTGATTAGGATTTAGACTTAAATAAAATAAAGAAGACTTACAGCTGTGTTTTGAAACAATTGCTCGATAGATCGCATGAAACGGACACAAATAAAATATGTAGAGCAAGAGCTTTCGATTGGTGTATTTTAATGCTAGGGTAAAAAAGCGTCCTCGATGCAGTCGACCACTGGAGCTCTCCCAAAACCTACACAAACTCGATTTTTGCGTCTGACATGCTCTGACGTATTTGTTGTCACAAATCGGTAGTAAAATGTTGATAAAATAGTTCTCGTCTCCACAAAATGTGTCGACGCAAAATCGTTGTACCTCATTTCTGGTACAGCTACCAGTGTCCAGTCAAGCCCACTGCTAGTTACTCCTGCCATGAGCCACCGCAATGCTGGAAGAGGACGGGGCTTCACTACGCCTCAAGTTGAGCATACGTACCAAAGTGCATTACAAACAGGATCTCACGGATACATTTAACGCTGCTTTTACTATTACAGGCCTCTTATCTCTCGTTGAGCAGTTTCTCCCGCTCGGATCACTCAATGGGATGATGTCCACTACGCTTACAATCGGAGCCTTCCCGCTAAGTGGCCGCAGCGCGACTCAGGGTCGTTGTGTCGCAAGTTCTACGCTTTGAATAACGCTAAAAAGCCGACAGATGAGTGAGTCGATCGTGTGCTGTAATACCATTGTCCATCCTTAAGTGTATATAGGCGATCCATAGTGTCCCCCGGAGATTCGACGAGCGAAACATGCCTTTAGAGAAATCGAGGGCAAGTGCAGTGTATCTTGACTAGCAAACAAGGTGTACCAGGGAGATTTAGCAGGATCAATGAGTGCTTCAACTGTTAGAACATTGCGATCAACAGAATACATACAGCGCAGCCGTAGAAGCAGCAAAACCTGCTTGCCTATCGGTGCTCGCACGCTAACACAAGCCGCTGAGGGGTGTCCCGATCCATCAAAAGGGTGAATGGCCAGCAGCCAGCGGCCGCATACTTGTACCCATACCATAATTTATCCGACTGGAGGGCCTCTCCGTCCGGTACCAAGAAAATGGTACCATGCATAAAATTGTACAGCGTGCCAAAACTTTTGACTGACAAACACGGTAATTGTTGAATGATTCGGGGAGATGGGAAAAGATGCGAAAGGTCAGAAGGTCTGTTTTAAGCCTAGTCTATAGGCGCAAGGAAATTGTCTGAAACGCTCTGTGGGCTGAGAAAATCAAGAAGAGGCAAAAAACGATCAAATTGGGCCGGAGCCATGTGCTCTCGGGCAGGTAAATTCACTAATGAGACCATGATTTTCGTGGCGGAGTTCACTATTAAGAGCATGCTCATGACCAGTCGCTGCTGTGTATGCCAATTGGTTAAAATATCTACCAAGTAAACATGCCCACACATAAGTGGATAGACACGTGGCTAGCTGTTGGTCAGCAGCCACAGAAAGCTGAAGAAGGCCACAGTAGCTCTTCGGTTCGGCCGACGAAGAGGGGGAATTGCCAGTCGTCTTTTTTTTCAGGCCGAACCCCCCAGACCTCCCAGCCCGACTCGTCGCGGATTGGCCCTGCAGATAGCCGCCTCCACCTCCACCCCCTCCCCCCGACGACGTAGCTCACCGGAAGAGCGCAGGGCTTGCCCTGAGGTAGCTGGTTCAACTCCAGCCGCCGTCATCATCCCATAGGTGGAAGCGCGCCGCGTGCTGCAGCCATGGATCATGTACAGCGTGCCAATGCTGCTGCGTGCTTTGTAGGGATCTAGCGTGTCTTGTGCGCGTTGTTGGTGCCATGATTTCGATGACTAATTGTTTGCTAACATGCACGTGTATTTCGCTCTTATCTTCGTCGTTTTGTTTTGTGCGAGTGTCTACGTACTAGCTACAAGACCAAGGCCACCCTGGCGATCGGGGTCTTGGACGGCAGCAGCACTGCGCAGCTGCTGCAGACGCGTGATCTTGTCGTTGAGGGCGCCTCGCTAATATAGGTCGTGGAGATGCTTGCGAACTGCCGTGGAACCGCGCGACTTGATCTCAAGCCTGCCGAGAAATGCCAGCACCGCTGCTTCAGCTTGCTTGCCGAGCGCGAGGACTTAGTCACGGTAATTGACAGCGCTTAAGTCCAGCTTTAAGTCGTCAGCTACGAACAGCTTCATGAAGGCCACGAGCTGCTTCGCGTTCGAGCGCTGGCATCACCCAGTCCGAAGGGCTCCTGTGCGTACCACGCAAACATGTTGCGTGAAGGTGAGTCGCTGATGCCCGTCTGCGCTTGGTTTTCTCTTGTTCTTGGCTTGGCTCTTGCTGACGCTTCTTGTTCGTGTCTTGTGTTGTACCCCCTTCTTGCTTAGCCTCTATGACATCCATGCGCTCACCTTGGCGCTTGATGTGCAACATTAACTGGTTAATCACACCCCGTTGGTGATCGATTATCTTGGATTCGTTGCTTGTTTCCTTGTGCATTGGCGTGGGTGGTTCTTTGCGTGGTGTTGTCGCGAGTTTCTTGTAGGTGGCGAGGTGTGACGACCATGCCAGAAGTTCTGCAATCGCAGCCCTTGCGTGGACAACAGCCGTCTCCAAAGCCTGACGGCAATCTTACCGGAGCAAAGCGTTTTCAGCAGCGGGTAGTGCAGCACGAGATACGCTGTGAGAACATCCGTCACTTTGGGACTGATCTTGTACTTGGAGCTGTTCATTTTGTAGCATGTTGCAAACAGAAGCCGCTGTACACCTGCAATCTTCAGCCGCGTCTCGGTGTCAAACGCGTCCAAGTCCAGCAGCTCCACGTCCGCGCCCGTGGCAAAACCACTAAGCGCCTTGCCTATCATGTGGTCCTGTCCGCTCGTGTTGAAGATGTAATTAAGCCCCTTGTTTGTCGTTGACATGTTCCAGGCGCCGCGGCCGAAGATCCAGCGCTCCGTGAGTCCGTCGCAGCCGTTGACGTGCTGCGCCCCACCGCGCCGAAAGGAATGGGATGTGAGTGGCTCAGTCACCCCAGCGGCAGAGGCTACGCGATCAAGCAGGCGATTGACGTGGGTGTAGATCGCCAGCACAGCTGCGGCGGGATTCGTCGAGCAATTGGCGCGCGTGGCGGTGGCGTCAAGCGCGGCGAATTCATTTGGGTGGTTCAGGACCTCAAGCAGTGGCGTCGCCGGGAACAGCGGCCTCGATCGCGATCTCCGGCAAGTTGTCGATCAAGGCCGGTGTCGGTGCGGACTGCGTGATCAGGGCCATGGCAATCGCGTGAAGCGGGCACGTGACGAAGTCGGTGTCCGGGAAGAGCGAGAGCCCCTGCTCTTCGGACGTTTTCATTCGGATGAAGCGTACGAAGAACACGTCGGCCGCATCGACGGACAGGTTTGGCTTGTGCACAAGCGACAGATCGGAAGCACGGCCGAACAGGTGCCACATCAGACACAGTAATGCAGCATCTTAGTAGTCGCTAGGGGAACATGCACTCTCATACAAATACAGCATCATTTTTTTAAAGTCACGCTTTGAGCATGGTGGTGCTTTGTTAACCACCTTTCCGTTTTGCTTCATGCAAAAGGGTTCGAGCGTCTTCCCCATGCTAAGCAAATTTGCTTCGATAATGTGCCGTTGCACGGGGAAGAGCTCAAAAAGCCACATCTTACTCTGTCGGTAGTACTGCATGGAGGTGTTCCGGGCAAGTGGTTTGTCCTTCTTGCCCTCGTTAAATGCAAGATACATGCCATACTTATCTAACGCAGACACCAAACAATTACCTGTACCATCCTGTTCAATGCATTGCTTAACATAGTCAAAATCAACATCTTCGCTCTTTACGAACGTCTTAAACACCTTGATGGCTGTTTCCTTGGCACGCTTGGTGTTGCCAGGTTTTAGCTCGTCTAAGCTCATCCTGGTCGGATAAGACGGATGGGCTGCAAATATGCAAGTGATATGTCTTTCACTTGGAGTTTGTAGACAAATACACATATTTTTCGTCCGCCTCCGACCCGATACGTCAGAATGGCTGGCGTAGAGGACCTACCACATCTTCCACACACTGATTGGCTTTAAATAAAAGATTGAAGAATTTCGATTGGGTCGAGCTAATAACAAATTGCTAATTGGTCCATAATGAGCCCCCATGCCCCATACAAAAATTAAGTGAGGTCGGATAGCTGATTATATTCATCCAGTACCTTAAATGTGTTGATTTTGATATGCTAGTAGACACAACACAAATTCGACATATATTTTAACACATTTCACTTTTAATTTTGTTTTGTGTTTGTGATTGCATTTGTGTAAGCTTTAAATTGTAAAAAAAATGCGCCCACTTTTTTCTATAAAGTACTTTTGTTTAGCTCTGTCCATTTATTAAATAAGAGAGCCTATTTTTATTTCTAATTGCATTATAATAAGCTCGAGAATCAGACCAAGTTTTGATCATCACCAGTTCGATGGACGCGGCGGCACATCACGAGCTTGAGAAGGCTCTCAACGGCAGCGATATTAGCTCCTTCAAGCGTCTGTACGAGCAGTACCCACAGTATCGGGTGCGCAATCCGCAGTGTTTTTTTCTGCTTGACCCGCAAGCTTAAATCGGAATCTCCAACTTGATATTTGTCATCAAAAACAGGATGATGAGGGACGAACGTTGCTGCACCTGGCTATTCGGCAGAACCTTTTCGACGCTATAGAGGGTGACATTGCCTCCGCCGCTGTGGACGCCCGTGTATAATTGAAAAAACAACTTAGATCTTACTAGGGATAGAATTTGTGAATTAATGGGACTGCTCCATTACTTAGGACAAGAATGGACGGACCCCCTTGATGGAGGCAGCTGAAAGAGGATACAGTCTCATTTGCGAAGAATTGCTGGCCAACGGGGCATCAACATCGACCGTAGTAAGCCCCCAAGTAGATTTTGTGCTGTTTCAATGTGTTATTACTGACGAGAGTGAGCTGGTGGAAGGCGTCGGATGGAAGCACGGCGTTGACGATTGCTCTTCAAAGTAACCACTTGCTTGTGTGTCAAGTTCTGGTGGCGGTGGACCCCGACCAAGCTGTACAGGTACGTGAGAAATGTGTGAAGTATTTTAAATGCAGCTATTGAGTATATATTTTTTATCTGCGCTGCAGCGACTGCTGATGGCAATCAACATGGACAGAAGAGATGAAGTGGTGCTGCTTGTGAAAGCTGGTGTGTCGCTTGATATTACAGTGAGAGAGTGAAGAGTACAAGAATCTGTAGTCTGTGTCTGTTTTAAACATTACTGTTATGACAGAGGATGACTGGAGGAGAAGAGAGAAATCCACTTAGAGAAGCTACTTCACACCCGTTGATTCTTCGAGAACTCCTTCGGTTTAAAGCGCCTGTGAATGCGAAGGTTCGTTTAATGGACGTGTACTGTCATTTTATTTTATTTTTAAACGTTATGTTGCCAATAATTTCTTAGAACAAAGCAGGAGCTACGGCTCTGACCTTCGCTGCTGCAGCTGGACATTTGAAAGCGTGTGAGATCTTGCTGGATAACGGAGCATCACTCAACTCGAAGGTACGAGTTCAAACAGCAACTTGAGTTCAGACAATAACAACAGTGTTTTTTGTAGGACAATGAAGGGCGAACTCCAATGTATCATGCCTGTTGTTACGAAAGAGAGAGTACAATCGCTCACTTTGTCCAGCAGCTTGGTGTCTCTGTCGATACAATGGTAATGCATAGCAACATGATGTCTTACTCCATTGAACAAAATGGTAACAGTGTTGTCATACCACACGCAGAACAACAAAGGCCGGACTCCCCTGTTTTATCATGCTGAGCGTGGAAATGTGCTTGGATGTGAACTGCTACTTCGATATCATACCAATGCAAACCACAAGGTGAGGAAGGTCTTGGCCCTTTCATTGGATAAAAAAACTTGAATTCTAAAGCAACAAATATGTTACACAGGACATGTCTGCGTGGACTGCTATTCATCTAGCTGCCAGTTATGGACACAAGGAAGTGTGTAGACTTCTCTTGGGCTATGTGATCCCAGCAGATATGGAGCGAGATGACCAGCAGATGGTGCTATGTCGACCTACGTCCTCTATAGGAAGCTGGATCTCGGTGACGGAGACGTGCTTGATGCGGATTTACGCCAAGCTCATGTATGAGCTTATTTGTCTGGATTGTAGTAATGAGCAGAGATCTTACCATGTACATCTGATCCGACTAGGTCGTCTGGAGTGCAAGCAACTCTGCAAAAGTATGGGACGCTGAGGATACGAGACTGCAGTATGAACACTTTGCTCCACGTTGCAGCGTCCAGTGCAGGTGACAAACACTGCTACTACATCATCCGATGTCTTCATTTGGTCGGAAATATCGCTATCAACACTCAGGTTAAAACTTCACCTTATGATTGCCGTATTTTTACACTGAGACTGACATTCGTTCCTTATATTTCGACCCTCCTGTTGTGAAGAACTGCTTCTGTGAGACGCCTCTCGATGTCGCGGCAGATCGACAATGCTCCATGGCATCGTCTGCGCTTCAATCACTTGGGGCTGTGCAGATATCCAGCGATAGCGAGATATTCCCCAGTGTGATTCAACTAGCGGCTCCACGCAATGGTCCCATGTTCCGCACAGTGGTGGGTTCGTCCAAGGACTTTTCTTCTTGCTCGTGCGACCATATAGTCCAGTTATGTCGGGGCATTCAGGATGGAATTTACTCCTTCACCGACGACACCATCGCTCAAGTGGACACTGAAAGAGAAGACACTGTCTTGCACTATTTTCTCCAAAGTTTCATCCAGCGTGCTTCATTCCCGTCAGTGGAGGAGCAACGCGATGTGCTCAGCTCATCCGAGTGGCTCGGGACGACGGAAGCGCCCCGTTATTTACGCGTCCTAATAACGAAGCCGGTAAGCTTAAGTGTAGATTTGGGTATGTGTTAAAAGTGGTAATAAGCAGAGTTGTTGTTACAGAACTGGGAAGGTAAAACGCCCTTGCACGTGGCCGCAGAAGTAGGAGCCTTGGGCTTCTGTGAAGTGCTGATTGAGCTGGGAGCGTCGGCGAAAGAAGAGTGCCAAGCGCCAGATAATCGTCTTCTTGACCAGCCAACCGAGAATCTTCAATTTTGGAAACCTATTAACTTTGCGGCGACAGTAAAAGCTTCTCTTGATGAGGCACAGGCTTCGTATGAAGAGCGTAGTGCACTGGTTGAGTATTTGCTGAAGGAGCCCGACTCCTTACCCGATGACGAGAACGCGGCGCATGACTGCAAGGAGAAGATACAAATGCACTTCCCACTTCTCCTCCCTCTGTTTATCCGAGTCGAAGACGACATGAAGCACAAGGAGGACTATGCAGAAGCTGAAGAGCTGTATTTCAAGGTACATAATCTACTAAGTTGTATACGCTTGGACACCCATACTAACGACACTACTTAGTTCTTAGATGATTGCTACACTCGGTTCCAAGACTCGACAGTGTATGAAAACGACCCAAGTGGCATTGCTGTACACAATGTCTTCTTAAACACGATTAGGTTCGGAATCAAGAGTCTTAAGAAGGTGATTGCACCACAGTTCGTGATCGAGTCAACAGGAGACACTCTACTCCATCTCCTTGCGGTCCACGGACACCCCAAGTTCGCCGCCATGATCAAGTTTTTAGTTGCCGACGCGCAGCTTGACATCAACAAAACAGTACGTGCTCTATGATGGTGGCATCACTCCTCGCTTGTTAATGAGTTTTTTACTACAGAACAAGCAGTTGAAGACTGCGCTGCATGTTGCGGTTGAGCACAACATGCCAGATATTTGTCTGTTCTTGATTGCTCAAGGTGCCGACGTGACAGCTTCGTGTCAGAATCTCGAGACTCCGTCCAAAGAAGTGTGGCTGACACCTTTGTACACAGCGCTGTGGTCTGCTACTCCCAAGTACGAGATCATTGAGATTCTGCTCAGTACGCCGCAGTCTATTGCTAAGCCACGCAACCCCAAGTTTAATCGCTCCGTACGCTACGAGCCTGGACAAGGACCAGACATCAAGTGGAACGGCGTCGTCCTTGAGAAATTACTGGAAGTTCATGCGTCAGCCTTGCCACTCTTCTTGGACCATTACGCAGTGGAAGTGAATCGAATCAACGGCGAGAAAGTGTACCGATTTATCGAGGTGTTCGAGATCTGTGACTATTTAGAGCAGATTGTGAACCCCACAGGGACATTAACGCCAAGTCTTTCGTCCAAGAAGACGATCAAGAACTCGGCAGTGACCCATCCCGTCGTCCGGAACGCCATACACTTAAAATGGGAGCTTTTCGGGGCGCACACGCACCGCAAACAGCTCTCTCTGTACGTGCTGATGGTCACGTTCTTCTACCTGTCGAATCTTTTGCTGCCGAAGATGGAAATTGTCGTGGATGAGGACGGCAAAAAGCGGGAATCGATGCACAAATGGATCGAGTTCGACTCGGTCGTCGACTATTTCGTGGGTATCACCAAGGTTTGCTGTTGGGCGCTGGCTGTCTATCATCTTCTGTACGTCGAATTCTTCAAGGAGTGGCGTTCCAACCCAAGGCAATACTGGAGATCCGTGTGGAACGTTCTGGATGTGTTCACGTACTTGTTGATGCTCGCTACGATCCCGTTTGAAGTCTATTCGGGTCATGATACGCAGCGAGAGTGTATGTTGAGTCTGCTAAGTATCCTGCTGTGTGTGAATCTGATGCAGGCGCTGTTGGTATCGTCGTACTTCAGTGTGCTCATATTCACGTTCGCTCGGATGTTCAAGGTGGTCGCACGGTTCCTGTTCCAGTATCTGCTGCTGCTCTTGGGCTTCTCCGGTGGATTGTTTCTGCTCTTTCACGGAGCTGGGCCCTACACGGACTTCTTCAGTGCCGTGCGGATTGTGTTTCTTACCACGTTTGGCGAGCTGAATTACGGCGATAACTACAGCTTCGACGACAGTCTCCGAGCACGGAATTACTTGGCATTTCTACTGCTAACAACATACGTGATCGTGGTGATTGTTGTCGCTATGAATCTCTTGATCGCTTTGATGACGTCTGAGTATGAGAAGGTTCGTACTCAAGCGAAGGAATTGTCATTACTGGAGCTCGCGGGTGCTCTGCATCGTTACGAGCAGTGGATCGGATACAGTGTCGTGCGGAAGCTCTACTCGACTCCTAGAGGCCAGCAGCTTATTGAGAGCTGCGTCTCCCACGTTCCTGGAGTACAACAGCGTCGAGTCTTCTATCGCCGCGACATGACGTCGTCTGTGTCTTCGTCGTTCTCAGAGGTCACAGCCAATGCATACGGCGTCCAGGACACTCAACGCAGCAAGATTGACGCTTTAAACTACTCACTTTTCAGCAAAGGCAACGCCGTGGATAGTATGGAGATGGACAGTATCACGGAGGCTATTACGACGCAAGTCATGAAGCACGTACACGACGAAGTGGAGGCTCTACGAATGCAGGTAGCGACGGAGCTTCAAGACGTTCGGGAGCTGCTAGAGACGGCGCATAAAGGCAACGCACTCGCGCAGAAGGACGTGGCTAGTAAACTCGTCGACGTGTTAAAGTTGCTTGCGAAGGATGAGAAGGCATCGAAATGAGCAGAATGACCAAACCAGGAAACATTACACAAGTGTTACACAACTGACGTTAGCCAATCAGCATGCAGTGACGCGCACCGCTTCAACTCGTATCTGAGTCGATGCGACATTCGTCACGCAAAGTTGCCAACTACCGGAATGGCCAGAACTGCCAGTTAAGATTTTGCGTCGTGGTAGAGTAAGTGACGTTTTAAAAGGCCTAAGATGCGTCTGAGTCCGCGTGAAGAAGAGCATCTGATGCTGCATACGGCTGGGGCTCTGGCCCAGAAGCGACTGGCACGTGGTCTCCGTCTTAACTACTCGGAGAGCGTGGCGTTGCTGGCCACGCAAGTGCTCGAGCTCATCCGGGACGGCAAGACGGTGGCTGAACTCATGACGCTTGGCGCGCAGATGCTCGGTCGACGACAAGTAATGGAAGGTGTGGCCTCCATACTGGACGAAGTGCAAGTGGAAGGCACGTTCCCGGACGGTACCAAGCTCGTGACCATCCACAATCCGATCTCCAACCTGGACGGAGACTTATCGCTGGCTCTGTATGGGTCCTTCCTACCTGTACCGAAGCTCGAGGTCTTTGGCGCTGCTGCTACCGTCACGGCAATTGCACCGGGTGCTCTTATCACTCAAGACACGGATATTGTGCTTAATGAGGGCCGTAAGGCACGTGTACTGCAGATCACGAACCTGTCGGACCGACCTATTCAAGTTGGGAGTCACTACCACCTCATTGAGGCCAATCCGTACTTAGAGATGGACCGGAAGTTGGCTTACGGTCATCGTCTGAACATTGCGGCGGGCACAGCGGTGCGATTCGAGCCTGGTGATCAGAAGACCGTGTCTATCGTGCCTATAGCAGGCAATAAGGTCATTACTGGAGGGAATAACCTTGCGACGGGGGTCGTGGACGAGTCCAAAGTGGACGCTATTGTCGCCAAGGCGGTGGCTGAGGGTTTCCACCACCGAGAACTGGAGCTCAGTACGCTTCCACGTCATGTGACCAAGCCGGAGTTTGGAGTCTGTAAGATGCCTAGAAGTGTCTATGCGCAGACGTATGGTCCAACGACGGGAGACGTCGTGCGTCTGGGAGATATGGAGTTGTATGTGGCGGTTGAGAAGGATATGACAGTATACGGAGATGAGTGCAAGTTTGGAGGAGGCAAAGTACTGCGAGAAGGTATGGGACAAGCGTCTGGCAGGAATTCCGCTCAGGTTGTGGACACCATCATCACCAATGCGCTGATTGTGGACTACACGGGCATCTACAAGGCCGATGTGGGCATCAAGGACGGCTTGATTGCAGGAATCGGCAAGGGAGGCAACCCAGATGTGATGGAAGGTGTCCTGCCTGACCTGATTGTAGGCGTGAACACGGAAGTGATTGCCGGAGAAGGGTTAATTCTGACTGCTGGGGGCTTCGATGCTCACGTGCACTTTATCTGCCCTCAGTTGTGTACTGAAGCACTTTCAAGTGGCTTGACGACGCTAGTTGGAGGAGGGACTGGCCCAGCTACGGGGACAAATGCGACGACGTGCACTCCGGGGCCAAATCACATAAAAATGATGCTCCAAGCGACAGACTCGACGCCGATGAACATTGGTTTAACTAGTAAAGGTAACACTTCGCTTCCTGAAGGTCTCCAGGACACTATTGATGCTGGTGCTGTCGGTATGAAGCTTCACGAAGACTGGGGGACGACACCTGCTGCTATTGACAACTGTCTCAACGTGGCGGAGAAGAACGACGTTCAAGTGACAATCCACACGGATACGCTGAACGAATCGAGCTGCGTGGAGCACACTATCAAGGCATTTAAGGGCCGAACGATCCATACTTACCATAGTGAAGGTGCTGGCGGGGGCCACGCTCCAGATATTGTGACGGTATGTGGAGAGTTGAATGTGCTGCCGTCGTCTACCAACCCAACGCGTCCGTACACTCGCAATACGATTGATGAGCACGTGGATATGCTGATGGTGTGTCATCATTTGGACAAGAACATCGCTGAAGACGTGGCTTTCGCTGAGTCTCGTATCCGTGGCGAGACTATCGCTGCTGAAGACTTGCTGCACGATATGGGCGCGATCAGTATCATTTCCTCGGACTCGCAGGCTATGGGACGTATTGGCGAAGTGGTTACCCGCACGTGGCAGACAGCTGACAAGATGAAGAAGGAACTGGGTCTCCTTCCTGAAGACGCGGCGTCCGAGCACAAACGCGACAACTTTAGAGTCCGACGCTACGTGGCCAAGTACACGATCAACCCTGCTATCGCTCATGGGATGGCGCACCTCATCGGCTCTGTGGAGGTGAACAAACTTGCCGATCTTTGTCTGTGGAAGCCGTGTTTCTTCGGCAGTAAACCTGAGCTGGTGATCAAGGGAGGTGCTATCGCTTACGCTCAGATGGGCGACCCCAACGCCTCCATCCCGACCCCACAGCCCGTGAAGATGCGACCAATGTTTGGAGCTTTAGGTGCTGCCGTTGGAATGGGCTCTATCGCCTTCGTTAGCAAGAGTTGCGTGGACAAGAAGATTGCTCAGTCGTACGGACTCAAGAAACGTGTTGAGGCAGTTCGCAACTGTCGCGGAGTCACCAAGAAAGACATGAAGCTGAACGATGCGTTGCCGAAGATTCAGGTCGATCCAGAGACGTACAAGGTGCACGCGGATGAGAAACTCTTGACTTGTGGACCAGCGACGTCGTTGCCACTGACACAAAGATTCTTCCTGTTCTAACCAAAGATGTGAGTGAACGAAACCAACTGTGAGCTTGAATAATGTACGTGTAATGAGTCCCATCTAGGTGTTTTACTGCTTGGTCTTGTCGCCACCTTTTGGTAAGTCGAAGGACTCTCCTGTCGAGCTCATAGACTGGAACGACGACAGCGGCATCGGAATGTCGCCGGAGGACTCAACTGTCACTGCAGATGGCGACGCTGCTACGAGTCGTGCGTGAGCTGCAGCAGCTCTTCGCTGTCGAGAATCTTGCGACGACGACGCCTCTGACCCTGAAGAGTTCAACGAGAACAGACTGGCCGCAGAACCTGATCGGATACTCGAGAAGGGGCCTAGAAAGGCACGTTTAGCGCGAGCAGCTCCACGTGCCAGCGCGACTGCCTCTCCAACGTTATGTGCTTCAGGGTTCTCGTTTCGACCGACCACCTTGATGTGACCCGAGTGTTTCTTCTTGCCGCCGCGTGTCCGCTGATCCCTGTGCACGAAGCTGAAGCCGAAGCGCAGAATCAACTTGACTGTCTGCATAGCAGTGTTCCGATCCATCTGCTTCTCGTCCTGAGTCAAGTAAATGTACGGGACCAGCCCGTTGTGCTCCTTCTTGGCATCATTCCGTCGAGGTCCGAACTTCCAGCCTTGCTCCATACGCATCTGTGCCCACACTTCGTGTGTGTTTTCAGCTAGAAGCTCAATCACCGAGCGAAGATGCGGAGGAACCTTGACATCATCCGTCGGAATAGGCTTCGGTTCGTACGTGCCACCAGGTTCCGTCGCCTCGGTGCCGAACTCAAAGCCGTCGAACTGCTCTTCAAGACTGGCTGGAGGTTCCAGCACATAACCCAATGCCGTGATGACTTTAAGTGCCGACATGGACGTGTCTCGATCGTACTGCTTGTCCTGTTCAGTAAGTGCTTCGTATGGTACAAGATCAGGATGAAGCTTCTTGTCATTGTCGCGTTCGGTTCCCCATCGCCAGCCTTGGTCGATCCGTCCAACCGCCCAGACTTCATGAGCGTTCTGAGACAGCAACTCGGCCAGCAAATTGATCGAGTGTGGCAGTCGAATGCGACGCGTGTCTGTCGGTTGTGGCGTGTATCTGTATCCTTCCAGCTCCCGTTTGTCCAACGGAGTGAGTGCCGATGGGAATCGCTCCAGGAACGTGATAACCTCCTGGAAGATTCGATCTTCCAAGTTCGGGATGCGAAGACGGCGCTTGTGCACCTTCTTGGCGATGAACATGCGGAAGTTGCGTACCAGTTCATCGAATCGACACGAAATACCACGCCCAGGAGCAGCGAAACTCTCCTTAATTAGACGATCCACTTCTGCATCTGTAACAAGACGATGATTGTTCTTCTTCTTCCGCTTACAGGAAAGAAGCTGCTTGACGTAACCCCAGCCGACGTACCCCGTGAAGTAGCGAAACCAAGTTGATCGTGGCAAGATGCACATCTCGTTGCCATCTATCAGTGCGTTGCCATTGTACAGCACTCGACACGCTCGAATGTGGCCTGCCTCTCCAATCTTTGGGTGGTTATGACGCAGACCAAATGGACCTTCAACGTCGCGACTGCTTCCGTAAATGTCGGTGGCGTTGGTGCCTTCACTGATACGTACATGGAAGCCATCGCTGCCTCTGTAGTCATCACTGCGCGGTACATTCCGTCGACGTTTGAAGCGTGACGGGACGTACTCGTCTTGTTCTCCAAGAACTTCCAGTGTGATCTGATCCTTGGTGAGTGATCCATCGTCGATCTCAATGAACATCCCTCGCTTCAATCGCTTCAAAATCTCAACAGTGTTGGCTTGCGACGATGAAATGGGGATGTAAGTGACCGGAAACTCCACTAGATCCGCGAAAGAATCAGTGGAATCCGCTCGTGGACGGGGCTGCTCTGCGATGAGCTCCACGTCCACATTCATGGCGAACTCGGGGTCATTTTGACGCATCAGGTCGCCACACACCATGATTAGATGCACACAGGCGCGTAATTTACGTCGCAAACGCTTGCGTTCTGTCATGAGGTAGTCATAGTCCACAAGAAGGACGCGCTGGAAGCCACACAACACCAGTTGTTCCGTGCTGTACGTCGAGTTGGCGTCTTTGATCGGTGGCATCTTCACACGTACACGCAGACCGTTCATGTAGATCTTGATCTGTTTGGCCAGATCGTACTCGACGTCCATGAACTGCAGCGAGTCGCGGAAGTCCTCGTCTTCATCCCCACCGTCCTTGTTGCTAGCTACTAAGTTGCGTTTGTTTTCTTCAAGATTCTTCTTCTCAGTCTGAGCCAGTGAGTAATACTCACTCATAATAGCAATGAACATGTTGACACAAATGAGGTAGATGGAGATCATGAAGCTGAAGAAGAAGATGCCAGCCATCGTCGGGTTGGCAACGTAGATTTCCTCGTAGTCGAAGGCGCCCAGCAGCATCTGGAAGCAGCTCGTCAGTGACATAGACAGCGAGTGATACTGTTGCACAGCTGAACCGAATGTCAGGAACCCCATGACAGCAAATCCAAAGAAAATAGTGAAGAAAATGATAACAAACGCCAGCAAATCTTTCGCTGCGAAGCGGAGCGTGCGCCACAGCAAGTTGAGACGCGAATTGAGACGCAAATACTTGAACACGATCGCCACAGACACCAAACCGAGAGCTGCTGCGTAGTTCGTAACCGCACGAGAGAGCCACGCCAAGGGCTCGATATCCACGAAACAATCACCTGCTGTACTCTGTTCTTCCGCTGGAACAGAGCAGTCCATATCCCCAACGCGGTAGAGATCATCGCGGATATTCTCCGACTTGACAGCAAAGATTACCCAATGTGTCAGGAACACAATCAGCAGCACGAGCTGAAACATATCCAGGAGGTTCCAGAGAGACTGCATGTACCTACGTAGTCCGAAATTACGCACGTCCGAGATCTCACGGTACAAGAGTAAGAGCATGGCAATAAGCAGCACAATTTCGAGTGCGTTAGCCTCTACAAAGTCTCCCGTGTCCTTGTAACTCGCCAGAATCCGAAAGCTTTTAATGCGACCAGTGACTTCCATGTAATCGGTGTTGCTCATCTCGAACAGCCCTTGGACGTGAGAGAAAATGTTGCTACGTGCATTGTAGAAGGCAAACGTTGAAGCCATGTACCGCGTGCCATCTCGAATAAAGTCGCTCTGCATCTGCGCGATCAGTGCAGTAGCTGCGGTGGCGTTATCACGAGGAAGATAAACCACATATCCACCGTGGCCATAGTCCATTTCATGACTCACCAGACCAGGTTTAAACGTCTCGGAGCGCACCAGTTTACTCAGTCCACTGCTCCATTGATACTGTGCACCCAGAAAGCCACTATTATTGCCATACGGTTGCTTCATCTCGTGGTGGGTGGAGTACTCAGGATAGCAAATTTCATCCGAGAACATGATAAAGTCGCTACTTCCTGTTGTCTGACTGCAAAGAGCTCCTTTGACACGTCCGGTTCGCATCTGGATGCTGCCAATGGGACGGATATTCCGAATAGGAGGGTCGTAGAACTGGTACAGCATGGGTCCACTAGCCCATTGCCACATTTCACCTTCATTGCCAATGTCATTGAACGTCTTGGGGACGGTCTCATCGGGGAATTGTTCCTGGAAATAAGTATTATCCAGAACTGCGTTCTGCTCGTACGGGAAGTGGATCGGTAGCGTTAACAGCGTCACCATTACGACTGCTAAGAAGCACAGGTACACTATCAATTCCTTGTAGAATTTATTGCGCTTCTCTTGTTCCAGACAAAGCTGCACACGCTTCATATGCACGCGCACGGTTGAATAGTGTGCGATCTGTTGCTTGAGCTGTCTGGCAGCCACAAGTTGGTCGTGGGTCTTGGGTCTAGCGCTCACACTAGCTCGACTAGCGCTGCGTTCTTCGCTGGCCTCCAAAGTGTGGGATTTATCCGCATATCCTCGTCGTCTCCACCAACAACAAGCCCACAATCTGCATTCCTTTTTGGTATTATCATGATCGAGTCTTGAGAGCTCAGCGGCGTCGTGTGACTTGGAGTTGCGACTGACCGCCGGATGCCGCGTGGCGTCCTCCATTAGTGCGTAGGAAGAGTGCGGCGCGTCGCCTGGCGGCTGGTCTTGCAGCTGCAACGGAATGTTGCTACTCGTCACGGTAACAAGTGTGCGCAAGACAAGAAAGCTGGAGTGTCAATGATAAAAAATAGAGGTATATCACGACTCCAACGTCTTGCAACTTTGTCGAACTATCGTTTTGGGATCCGCTGGTTGCCCGTTTCACTTGCGTATCCCTCTGGTCCACTGATACGTTATTTCGTTCCGGGTACTCGTCCCCCTTCGTGGAGGTGGCGAGTCCGCAAATGACACTTTTGGGATGACCTTGCCGCCGAGCAAACGAGCCAGCTCTCCAGATGGTCGCGGTAGAGACTATCGTCACACAATTTGGAGGTGCGAATGAAAATCGGGGGATAGATTGTACTGTTGTCACAGATGCACGTGCCATTACCGGTAGACTTTCGCTGGACGCAGGTCAAGAGTCGAGAGTTTACCTCGAAGTACTATTTTGCACCACGACAAATAGCTTCGATACCAATATTTTCTTCAATACCGTTGCCAACTTGCCACTGGCAAAACCTTTGCCAACTCGGTGGAACTGCGCCACAAGAATAAAAGTCACGCAAGTTTGCATCATGATCATTGAGTGGCGATGTGGTCTGCGCTTTGCCACCATCCCAGAAAATCCATTGTGTGGATGGATATCGCGGCTGCAACAAAAGCGATCCACGTGTTAAACTTACTTTACTCGTACAGAGGAACTTTTACTCTTGTTGCTTTCTACGTTCTCGCTCGGCCGCAAAAAAACCGTTGCTATCGAGCAGGAAGAGCAAGTCCCGCGCTTCGGATATCTGCAAGACACTGTAGAGGAACTCGAACCGACGATGGAATTCCTGATCCAGTAACGCGACCCGGTCGGTCGAGAGCTCCGCGCCGTCCTTCAGCTGCAACACGTACTCTGCGAATTGCCAGCAACAGCCCAGCAACTCTTCAAGTGCGGATGCCACAGTCTTCGTATGCACATAGCAGCTCTTAACTACACCGGCCACAAACGTCTCATGCACTCGCTTGGCCCGGTCAAAGTCGCCTGCACTCTCGATTTGCTCGACGCACTTTTTGAACTTGTTTTCAATCACAAACACCTGGAAATGCAACTCCAGAGTGCGAACCACAAAGCTCATGCGGATACGTAGTGCACCAGCAGCAGACGTGGCACCTTTTCCGGTGGTGTGTTTCGAGCGCAGCGTGTTACTTTTCCACGCCAACTCCAGAGCGTGTGCTACTCGCTTCAATCGAAAGCAAAACTGGAATAAATGGCTGTATGAGCGCAGAAGATCAGACGTGGCTAGCAGTTGCAATGGCCAACGCACATTGCAGCGCAAATTCAACGCGTGCCACAGCTCCCGCGGAGTCACTGCAGTATTGTTCTCCTTCAAATTAATGCCACTGCCTTCTCTCCAACTGGTCTTGGCCGAGTATTTGTCCAAGCTCCAGTCGGTAAGTCGAACGAGCGAGGAAAATCCAAGGCCCATCCAGTATTCACCTCTAGCGGCGTGTAAGCTAAGCACTTGCTGAAGATCAATCTGCGTCTCTACCATCAGCACGTCATTGACAACCACAGCCAGCATTTTCTTGTACATGATCTGCTTTGACGCTGTCACGGTGACTTCTTGACGTGCGTACTGGATTCGGACGTAAAGCACTGGATTATTGCTGTCCATCATCGGAACTTCTACAACTGGCGACGAATGAATGCCGTTTTCACCTCCACACGAGGGTTTTACTTGAGCCATCACACGCATTCCGTTCATGTTGCCAGGGAGGTGTTCGATGGCCACGTCGACGCTCACATACACGGTATGAGGGTCGTCCAGCTCAAACGAGCCATTCACTAATGTAGCAGGACCTAAAGTTCCCTCATTTCGGAGCAAAAGAGAAGCGCGGTGGCTTCCACTCCAGAAAGCTTTCTGTTCCCATTGCAGCGTAAACTCGGACGAAAACGAATATCCATCCATTTGCGCATGTCGCCACCAGACGGAGCCACTTTTTTCCACTCCAGGTTCATCACGCAAGGGCGTGTAGCCTTCCCTAGTCATGGTCAGATATTTGCCATTGGGACCTCGTGATGCGTTAAAAAGAAGCAGATCATCGCTGGAAGAAAACACTTTCAGCGCAAACGTCTGCAGTGGGAGCTACGAAGACATCGACAGCCAGTTAGTTCCACCAGATTAAGCTTCAACCCACACGTGCGTGTCCAACGAACCTGCATGTCGAAGTCGCGTCCCCACACTTCGTCTTCCGGTATTAAATCACACACAACTTCTCGCCAGAGACCGTAGTTCACATCTTCCTCGGATTTAATTGTCGGCTTCAACCGCATCATGTCGAAGCTACGTTCAATGAACGTCTGGAACACTTCTCCGCGTGATAGCAGGAAGAAGCCTTTCAAGACATGAAGATAGCCTACAAAGTCCGACTTGACAACCACTTCTTGGTGCAATCTGCTTGCCACATGACGGCGCACTTTCTCCACCTCATGTTCGACTGCTACAGCATCAAATACAGGCCGTCGCGCCAGCTCCGACATGGTCTTGACAACATCTTGCACCTCACGTGGGGAGAACTGGTTCGCTCGTGTCAAGATGTGCACCGCCTTGCCAATGACAAACACACTTTCAGCCACAGACGTCGGGAAGTAATCCAATGAGACAGCCTCCAAGTCCATTGTGAACTGCTGGTGCCACATCACGTCTTGCGTCGTCTCCCTTGCCACCTTCTTGACGAAAAACTCCTTGTGCGGGTCCACGATCTCACCATGCACCATCCAGGCCATCATCTGCTTAAACAGCACTCTAAAACAACACAAAACGTCAAAATCTCTCTCCAAAGATGCAACAAAATCTTAAAAACACGCACCGATGACACGAATACAGTAATTCTTGCATACATTTTCGTACTCTGGGGAATCCAGAGCTGGTGCTTTGGTATACGACGCCGAGTAATTTCGCCCCCTTCACACATGTCGCCTGTTGTTCCTGTTGCATCTCCATCGTGAGTCTGTGCACCAGTCCACAAACTTCCGGTAGAATCTCCGTAAACTCTTCGAGCTCGAACATGAGGTTGGACATGGGGAAGACGGCACTGGCCCTCAGCGTTTTGGCCTCAAGCTCCACGATTGCATCAGCGTAGCGATCCAGCAGCCGCTCCACAGCCTGCGCTAAAGCCTGGAGATAAACACTCGGGAATTTGGGCGCCTGTCGCACGAACTGGTCCAAGGTCGAGAAGGCGAAACCTAGGCTAAGCAGGCGGTTCAAAATACTGTGCTGGGCTTGTGACAGGAATGAAGCCTCTTTGCGAACGAAGAAGCCGTCGGCACGGCGCTCAACGACGTCACCTGTGTGCCCAAGCAGAGCCAAGAACAGCTCGTGGTGCATGGCTTCAAGATACGAAATCAACCCCGAAAATAAGGGAACCAGAAACAAAACCGGTTTTGAAAGTTTTTTTTACCAATCCGAGGGAGATAAAAAGATAGCTCCCCCTTGGATCCAGAAGCAGGAGAGCTGATATAAGGAAGAAAGCGTTGACACCATGTCCAGGTGAGCTACGCGCCGGCTTAACTCGCCCTGTCCTGAGTATATCACGGTTGCCCGTGCATGTCTATCTCTTCTCAACACTAACGGTTATCTTTCACTCCTGTTTTCATTCGCTATGTCTGAAGATACGACCGCGCCATCACTGTCTTCTCGCCCGATGGACACTTGTTCCAGGTAGAATACGCAATGGAAGCCGTCAAGAAGGCAAGTCCATTCACGAATTTTTGCTGTATATTTATTATCTAACCAGAAGTTTTTTGCAGGGTGCCGTCGTCGTCGGAGTACGCGGCAAGGCCGCGGTCGTGCTGGCCGTGGAACGTAAGGAGACGGCCAAGCTGCAGGACCCGCGTACGGTGCGCAAGATCTGCAAGGTGGATGACCATATCTCTATCGCCTTCGCCGGTCTCACGGCCGATGCCCGCGTGCTGGTGAACAAGGCGCGCCTCGAGTGCCAGAGCTACCGCCTCACGGTGGAGGACGCGCCGTCCGTTGAGTACGTGGCACGCTACGTCGCACGCGTCCAGCAAAAGTACACGCAGCGTGGCGGTGTGCGACCGTTTGGTATCTCGATGCTTATCGCCGGCTGCAACGACCAGGGCGTGCCCCAGCTGTACCAGACAGACCCGTCCGGCACCTTTTCGGCCTGGAAGGCCAACGCCACAGGCCGCAACTCGACCAACATCCGCGAGTTCCTTGAGAAAAACTACGTGGAGAACGCCACTGAAGAGGAGGCTGTTACTCTGGCCATCAAGGCACTGCTGGAAGTTGTCGAGTCCGGCAGCAAGAACATTGAAATCGTCGTCGTGCGAGCGGGAGGCAAGGTGTCGGTACGTTTAGCTGCTACTTATGTTTACTTTAGCTGGTTAAAATATTGCAGACTGACGAGGTGCGTGGTGTGCAGCCACTTGAGGACGACAAGGTGAACGAGCTCTGTGATAAGATTGAAGCTGAGAAGGAGGCGGCTCGCCAGGCCAGCGGCGAGAGTAAGTCTTCTGCTTAGACGAACTGAGTGGGACGAATGCAGCGCACCCATGGAATGCAGCTAAGCAGCAGTAATCAATCAGTGCTTTTGCAAAGCAGCTTCATGCATACCCCATTATTGGACAAGCTACACGACAAGAACGCACCGATATCATGCTGTGCTTGTTATTTTTTCTGTGCTGGTTACCGCTGCTTGCTTGCTCCGCTATTCAACTTCAACCGTTTGCCTTTTTCGTCGATGTAAGCAGCTAACAACGGACTAACAGCACGTGCATCTATCCAACCACAGTTAAAGGACTAAACAAAAAAGCAGTTGAAAGAGCTCGCATTGCTGGCATCCGAAGACATTCGTGCCTTAGTTGGCCTGACGCTCGTAGATGGCCCAGCGACGGTTGTGCTCCTGGCCCTTACCGGGCGCCACGTTCATGTCCGTGCATCCAGCGTCAGCACAGCCACATGAGTGCGAGTTCGTGTCCTTGCATGCACGCATGCAGCCTTCATCATTGCCGTCCAAGTCCGCTTCGCTCACGGGAAGCTTGTTAAACGCGAAAGCGTGTCCCTCGCCGGCCACACGGGCGACGGCGAAGTAGCGCTTGCCCTTCTCCTTGGCGTGGTGCAGAGCGAGGTTGAAATTGGCACCGCTGGGGCCGCCAGCGTACACGCGGTCGTTGCCCAGCATGTCCTCGCCCGTCGAGCAGCCCAAGAAGCGCGTCTTCTCCTTCGAAATGTCGTTCTCGGCAGCCGAGGCTTCAGACAAACGCGCCTTCTTGACAGCAGTCGTAGACTCGACATTGGGCTGCTTCTTCACCTTGAAGATACGCACGATCCAGTGTTCCGACGTGAAGGCCTCTTCCAAGTGCGTCAGCTTGATGTTCTTGACTCCAACTTCCGTGTTACGAGCACGATCGAAGCCTGGCGGACGCTGGTAGTCCGTCATCACTTCACCGAAGCGGTAGTAGCACAGCTTTGTAGGCAAGACAGTTGTGTAGGACCTTGGAGCCACCCGGACCCACATCGAAGTTGCCCGACGACGAGTAGTAGTCACGTTCCGAAGGCATGTCGTCCGGGTACACACCCGAACCAATACGCACAGGCCCAGAGGAACTTGTTAATATCGTCCGAACTGTACCCCGTCACACCACCGAAGATAACCAGGACGTAATCCACATCCAGACTCTGCAAGATCGGGTACGCGTCTTCCTCCGACGAGGCCAGAGCACGGCCGACTGTAGCAATGTGCGTGTTGTTCCACGTGTTGTTGTCCACAATAACTGTGCGGTTAGCCATAGCCGACATCTGGTAGCCGTAATCCCACCACGACATGATCTTGGCGTTCGCGTCCGTGTTCTGACGTAGCCAGAAGTACGCCTCACGGTAGTCGTCGAAGTTCACACGCTCGCCAGTCTGCGTACGGCCGGCTTCAATCACAATACTGGGCGATGAGTAAGCCATAGACGACACGTACGTAGCGTGAAGTGTGTAGCTCAGCAGCATGAGCAGCAGACCACTTACAATACCCAAAGCCAGGATCTTCGGTACAGGCTGGACACCATCCTTCTGCACGACGAACGTCGACGGACGAGCCAGGATTCCCATGAACTTACGCAGCGTCGACGAGATGCCCACAGCACCGAGAATGCACGCAATAGGCGCCAGCGTAAGCATCAGACGCACCATCACACCAGCGAAGTACCAGGCAACAGTACCGTACAGAATGACGAAAATGCCGCCGTCCGTCAAGTTCTGGAACAGGAAGTAGAGACCCACGGGCGCGAACGGCACGAGGATGTGCAGGTCGAAGAAGTAGGAGGTCCACGTCGTGGGCTGGTGTTCGCTAACGGAAGCAATAATGGGGATGTACTTGGACGCATAGGTCGGGTCCAGAAGCGTCAGACTACGGCCAGTCCACTGCACCTTGCCCATGAGTTGCAGCACCAGTAGAGCCAATGCCACGCCGGAGACCAACAGACCAGCGCCGACCAGTATAAGACGACGGAACGACGCGGCCGAGATGTAGTTACGCAGCCAGTTGACGAAGCAGTAGACCTGCAGCAACACGAAGACACCGTGCGATCCAGCACACTCGGCCTGCTTGATGACGTTGAAGCCCACGAACGGCACCTGCATCGCCATGAGACTCCCCAGAGTGTAGAACGTCGAGTAGGCGATGTACAGTCGCGGCGTGTAGCGTCCAGCGAAGATCATGACCAGAACATAGATAGGAATCATGTTGATGATGAACACATAACCACCCCAGGCTGCCACCATGTAGAAGTAGGTGAGTGCACAGCCAGCGGACCAGAACATGGATCCCGTGTGCACAGCCTTGATCCAGAGGTAGAACACGAAGATAAGCGCAAAGATAGCGACGCCTTCGTTATCGTACGAGCCTCCTACAGATCGGGAGATGTATGACGGTACAATACCGGCAAACGCGGCAGCTAGAAGACCAGCACTGGAGCGTTTGGTCACTTCCTTGGTCAACAGGTAGCTGGCAATTGCCGTGTTGGCAGCGAACAGCGGCGCGAGGAACACGCAAGTGTTGCGAACGTTGATGGAGATGTTCAGCAGGTTGAGCACCCAGTACACGAGTGCAGCCGTGTACATGAGACCAGGGTAGATAGTGCCACCGATGATACGACCCAGCGGATACCACGCACGGTCATCGAACCAGTCCAAAAACTCGAGGAAACCCTCGGAGGCCAAGTACTTGGTCGTACGGAAGTTGAAGTACGGGTCGAACTCGTGGATCACCTGCAATTATTGTAAGTTAAACAATTTAGCGACGTGTGTCAATTGATAATTCGGACAATTCTTCACGTACCGATTCGTAGCGCACGACGGCGAAGAGGCGGATGGAGAAGGACATGAGACAGATCATAGCTAGGATCGCATACTTGGCTACTGGGGCCACAGCGTTCTCGTCGTCCTCGACGTCGCGCGGGTCGTCCAGATCCACACCGAACACGACACGGGTCGGGTCACTGTTGACCTGCTTGGCTGGCGTGGGGTCGACCACGGGTGATTCATTCTCGGAATCATCCGAGGAGGCTGTGGCCTTCTTGGCCTTGGACTTGGGCGCCATAGCTGCTCAAGGAAGCTTCACTCTGGCTGTGCTATTAATAGTATTCGAGCGCTCGACACGTTGCACGTGGCATCAAAGTGAAGATCTGTGCAGCATTTCAAGCAGCGCGTAATTACGGCGTTTTGACGAAAGGCTTTTTACGACGACAAGATAAGAGCAGGTTGATATGGACAGCTGACCTACAAATATCAAGATTGATGTTGAAGTAGCTTTATGCAACATACGAGCTGAATGCTGAAGTTACTCCTGAGCAATTTAAGGGGGTTTGAGAACAAGAGAACAGCAAAGAAAGGATTATTCGTCGGCGGACAATTAGCAACGCGAAAAACGGTCATTCCTCGAAATCTGGGCTCTCGACAAATCAACGCACACGCCAAAACTCACCCGCATCGCAGCAGCATCTTTGATGGTAAGATGGACAAGCAGTAACACAATATTAGAGAACTTTAGTTTCTGGAATATTTGGAATAGGAATTTTCTTCGTCGATATATATATTCCTAAGGAATAGCGTAGGGTCGCTTTGCTCCACTGGAATAAAGTAGTGGAATAGCGATCGGTAATCTATCCGTCATTTTTATCCGTTTTTTCTATTAGATACTCGTTTTTCCAAGCCTTGCGTTATTCCAGTTTAAGTTCTCTATTGCTACTTTTACATGTAGCAATTCGCGCAGAAAGATGATCCAAGCAAATATGATGTGGAACACAAACGTATGTTCTGAACACCACTTTATTCTCAACCTCGCGTTCATTCGTCAAAACTCTGTTCCGAAGCGATCATTGGTGCAAAATAGAACCTATAGATGGGTGGTCCCCGAAGCAATGGTTGGTGCGCTGATAATTTCGAGCGTCGTGCCCTTCATTTGCTACTGTCCAAAGCTATCCAAGAAGAAGGTAGGCCTCCCCTATAAATGATCACTGGGCTGAGCAAGACAAGACAGAGCAGGCCGGCGTGAAACAGGGACTAGGGACGCGCAGCAGCGTATAAGGATACCCACAGAGCAGCACACAGGCCAGCGCAGCAACAAAACGCTGATTATCGACAGGTTTCCTTAATGTCCAAAGATGCCTCAACCCAACATCCCGCCTGCCTGCGCCACCTTAGCCCAGTAGACAGACGATGGCACTGACGATGTTGCATTTGTGTGTCATGGACAGTCTGCAACCATGGCTAACCTCACGTACTCCCACCCCCGCACTTACGGCAAGGACTCGCGTCACTGCCGTGTGTGCAAGACCACCCGTGGTCTGATCCGCAAGTACCACCTGGACATGTGCCGTCGTTGCTTCCGCGAGCGCGCCACGGACATTGGTTTCGTCAAGGTAAATGACAGTAGCTACGATAGTCTGCAATGCGAAGTACAGGAAACTGATTATGTGCTGGCTTTGTGTCGTGCAGTACCGGTAAATTTATTATTGGTCGGCCAACAGTTCGCTGGACGACGGGGAGATGCGCGCGTGATCAGTCGCGCTCGCTAACGCTGACGCCTGCGACTGCGCGTGCAATGGAAAGAGGTCGTTTAGATACGCCGAAGGACACGTCATTTTAGTTCGTTCAGAGGAACCGAAGAATGGAAGAAACGTTGCCGTCGAGGCCGCTTGTTGTTATTCTTCGGGTAATCGAATGAAGCTAAATTGCAAAAAGACTCCTCCCCACGCTAGAGGCGTCATCGTCACTTCCATCGTCATTTGAAACAGGAACACCGTCAACCACCGCTATACTGTGATGCCACGTCTCGCAGATACTTCAGTCTTGTTTTTATTAGCGTGCATGTCAACGCTGTAGCCATTTCATTTCGGTAACATTTGTCGGTACCATACTACTACTAGTACCACTATTCTCTTAACCATTTGTGGAGAATTTTCACTGGAGACCCATGATGCATTCTGTTTAGAAACTGGTGCATCTCCACAATGGTTCATCGATAATTTTAAAGAAAAGATAGCGAAGAAGCACTTTTTGTCGACATTAGAAATACTGCACAGAAACCTGCGAAAAGGCATACTCAGAAAAATATTCCTTGGATCCAAGTCCAGACCTATGCGCACATCTGGCGGCGCGGGTGTCTCGCTCAGGCGGCTCCACGACGCCACGCCAAGTCCCTTGCATCCGCTATTCACATTACTATTTATTCTGTTGCTTCTGTGCTCGCTAGTCGCGGCGGAACCAGCATCGCAGCCTGCGCAACAACGTCGCGAATGGAGCCCACAGATTCCGCTGGAGAGTCAAGTGACGGTAGGCGTCGACGGCATTGTGACGTCGCGTGGAGCCGGACGCAAACGCAGTGACGGGTTATCTATTACCCGCAGCATTCCAGTGGATACCGGTGTCGCCCCCGACGCAGCAGTGGACGACCAGGCAATAAAATTCAGACCTGCTCGAGTGGATCTCGGACGGGTGGAGACGTGCTCTCCACAGAGATATTACGTAGGAGTGGAGAACCGAGGACGAGTGTCCGTAAGACTTGACGGTGCCGACTTTACACACGAAGGTTTCTCACTAGCAACTGACGTTCGAGGTATTCGATTGGATCCCGGGGACAAATTTAATGTTCAATTTGTGTTTCTGCCAAGTGAGGACGAACCAACTGGGGTGGATGCTCATTTGAGGGTGTTAACAACGTCTGGGCTATTTTCTTTGCCCATAAGCAGCTCGGAGGTGATAACTAATCGATATGGCGTCAGTGCTATTCGAGCATCGGTTCCTGTCGGAGCACGCTTTGAGCAGTCCTTACGATTTATCAACCCTTCGAACTCTACGATTCGAATAACAGAAATATACGCACTGGATAGCTTTATTCACATTGAACTACTCAACGGTGGTGACTGGATTGGGCCTCGATGGCCACGAGAAGCTGATGACAACGAAGTGCAAGAGGTTCCGGGAGAATACGACCCTCAGTTTGACTATTCAAGGCGAGCGGACCGTGGCGCTTGGGATATGCCCGCGGGAACGACCAGTCCGTTGATTAAGGTGTCACTGCAGAAGAACGTTCCTGTCGGCGACTATTTTACGTTTATTCACATTGCCGCCGACAAGCGACGTTTGTTGATGGTGCCGGTGCGCATCGCTGTGCTCAAGCCTGGAATCCACATTGAACTGAGAGAAGTGGATCTGGGCATGCTGACCGACCTTCATGATGACGTACATCGTGAAGTTACCTTCGCTTTGTATAACGCCGGCGTGAACCCTATTGAGATATTGGAATTAAAGATACTGGAGAGCAACTTGCTCGTCTCAGCGGAAATATGGGGTGGATCATCTGTCATTCCTCCACGAACGCAGATCTTTAACGCGCTTGCTGTCCGGATTCGAGTTGACGAAGAAACCACGGGTGACTGTTTTCTGTCGCTGATGTTGAAGACGAACGCGTCGAGTTCGGAGCTGGGCCAAAGGAACCTGAAATTATATGGGCGTGTGGCGCACGGAAACGTGACTTTTCGCCTCAACGAGACGCGATTTGGAGTTATTATGCCGCTAGATAATTTATCACGTGAAGAATACGATTGTGACAGTGTCAGCAGCAGTGCAAATGGAACTTGTGACGAACGAGTTATGGGAGATCACGAGAAATCAGCTACCAAGCTAGTATCAGCTAATGGCGAAGAGCTTTCAAAGGGGATAATGGCCGGTACAACTGCATTCCGAAAACTTCAACTATGGAACCAATTTGATTGTCCTGTGGAACTACAGCGAGTATGGGTGGACCCTACAGTACCGGACCATGAGGGAGTGTCTCTGTACAGATTTAAACAGGGAGTTGTAGACCCCGGATCCGCTTGGCCAAAGATTTCTCTGAAGATAAAGCCGCCACTGGGAAGCAAAGCTGAGTTTTACGCGGCGCAGACTTATTCTTTAGTGGTGGAGACTAATGTCTCTCGTCATCGTATCCAGATTAGCGTCTACCACGGCTTTTTGAACGTGAATTCGACGAGGGGTCTTCAGAATTACTCCGTTTCAGGCTACTATAAGCCCACGTTTGAGCCAAATGTATCTCAATCATGCTTGGTAGTGCCGAAAGGAGGTCTTGTGACGGGATCGTCGCCGCGTATCGATGGCGGAGAAGCCACAACGAACACACAGGCTGTTCAAGTATGCCGCTCGTTGTTATTCGACTTGGACAAAGTGGCGTCTCGCCGCTCTCGCACCGAAGTGGTGACCATGGTGAATAGAAATCCTGTGCCACTAATACTGAAACTCACAAATGTGTCGGGAAGTGACGTCGTCGGCGTGTTCATTAGAGCTGAAGTGACTCTAGCTCACCCTGTTGTAACCGTAAGTGGAAGTGCAAGCTATTGGAACAACGTGGTCGGACACGATGCAACCAATAACAGTGACAAAGCTGTACAAACTGGGGATAGTTTTGTCCTCCAGCCTGGTTATCAAGTGGAATTTAGCGTGACAATTACGGCGAAGGATACATTGGGGGATCTTACAGTTCCCATCATGACTGTGGAGACTCCCATTGAGATATTCCATCTCAACGCGCGACTTCGCAGCGTGCAGGGAGCGGTCGAGCCAGTCACGCGAGCGGTTGTGTTGCCGTCAATGTTCCCGGGACGTATCGAAACTATCCACCTACATTATCGCAACACCTTCGAACACGCGGTGACAACATTGAAGGCCACAATCAGTAGTTCAACACTGAGGATCTTGTCGATGAGAGATGCTATAGCGCCGAAACAAGTTGAAAGGGTGTTGGATGTGCTTTTCTCTCCAGCGGAGAACTCAAGATGCTCTGATGCGGAGTTCCTCGCGGATTGCTTGATTCCATTGGCAGATATTGAGGATGAGCAAACATGCGAGCAGCTATCGGACTATGGGGAGTTCGTGGATGAGCGCGACTTGAATGCATTACGTCGTCGCGATGCTTTTTGGAGTAATGCTAGTGTCCAACCGACGATGGAAGCCCATATTCATTTACACACGGATATCATCGAAGATGTCACGGAAGTCGCGATCACAGCGCTCCTTGAGCGTCCTCTAGTCACTGCGCCAACGAGTGGAGCGTTGCCTTCGAGCAACAACGTCAAGACGGAGTTTGAGCTGACAGAACTTCTCGATTGGAGTCACGTGTTCATTAACGTGCGCAATCCGAGTAATATTTCAATCCAGATGGAGTTGACGATTGCTGAAGAAGATCAAGAGTTGCTGTATCCCTGCCACGAAGAGCTGCATGGAAAGGAGGAATCGAAGGGTATTAAAAGTGGAGACACAGACGATAAGCTGCAAGGTATTTCGTCATCGTGTTTGACTGAGTGGAAAGTAGTGACTGCGGAAGCAATCTTCCTATTGCAAGAGAAGCAAGTGGACATCGATGTGCCCCCGTTCTACTTTCGGAGGAAGATCATTCAAGTGCCAGCAGGAGAAGAGACGCGACTTGGACCAATCTACTATCTCCCTTCGAAAGTTCAGGAATTGGTTACGACAGTCTTTGTACGCAATGATCTCTCACACATTGAGCCTGTGCAACTACGTGCACGCAGCGGTAAAGGAACATTGGAGCTCTTGGTGGACACACCTGTTGCCTCCACGAAGACCCGCTTCGTTCCGTTCGAGCAAGTCGCCGACATTGAAGAAGACGGCGGAGACGATTATGCTTCGTTAGGATACGATGGCACACTACACTTCGCCCTCACTTACGACGACGCGGTGACTGATTTCAGTCAAGGAGCTGATATCCTGCTCTCAAATACAGGATCATTTGCTTTAGTAGTTCGTAGTATGACTGTGGAGTCTGCATGGACGATGCAGTCGTGGACACAAGATACTGCGCCACGAACGAGTGATTTTGTGGTGAAGGCAGAGAAATCTTCAGAGGAGAATAACGAAAGTGACACAGTTGTGCTTCTTCCTGGAACAACGGCACGTTTTCGTGTATCTTTCTGCGCGAGTTGCTATGCTTCCAGTGTGACAAGTTGGCTGGTCATTGATACGAGTGACGGGATCAAGCTTATTCAACTTCACGGCACAATTACAACGGACGCTGCATTCTCATGTTTGCGGTCTCGGATGGCTCCTCCATTGCGAAATGCGGCTCTCTACGCGTGGATAGTAGCAGTAGCGGTGGCCGTCATATCTACGCTTTATACTCTGTTGCTGTTGGTGCACGACGCATGGTCTCAAGATGATGTACCCACAGTTCATGTGTGCAGCCTCGGTGCTAAAACTGACAACATGCGCACAGAGACAGAGAACATCATGGCCTTGACTACGGAGAATGGAGACATGCGTAGACCCCGAGCTCTAGATTCGATTAAGCGTCTTCTGGAAGATATGGAGCACACAGCGTTTACTCCATCAGCTCGTGTAGTGACCCCTGCAGTCTCGCAACTTCTAGAGAAGCGACGCAAAGGATTGGCTTCAAAAGCTGGTGCTTCTCTGTCTTCTGTTTGCGAAAAGGCAACAACATCGTTGGCGGCGAAAGCAAAACCGTGCGAGAATGAAGCCGCTTTGTCTTCACTTGAGGTTGAGAATATCCCACCGTCTAATGTGACGTCTACGGCAACGAAAACGAGCCCGCACGACATTCAAGGGGCTGCGACTAAAGCTGCAGGCGAAGATACAGCCGCATCAACGAGCGCACCCGAAGACGCTTCCAGCGTTCTGAAATTTTTCAAAGACAATGACAGCGGCAAGCACAATGGCGTGTCATCAGATGAGAGCAACTCCGCGTCACCAGCTTCATTTCCTCACTCGAGTGATGTTCAACCTGATGCCGAGGAGTTACGTCATGGCGCTAAATTCCCGCAGTTGTCGTTCGGATCTCTGGAAGATCAACGAAAACCTGGGTCTGCTCAACCATCCTCCATTGGTACACGGTCATCTAAAGCGGCAGAGAAGACCTTTGGGGCTTTCGGTACGCTGTCAACTCGGTGGCATTCGGAAGATTGGCAAGACAACTTGAGCAAACCGTCTCCGCCTTCGCTGACAGGAAATTTCTCGGACTGGAGTGGCTCTTTGTCACTTTGTAACACGTTGGGCAACGGTTTGCTGGACTCAATAGCCAGTGGGAACCAACGCGACGAGACCGGTCGCCCAGGAAACCGCAGTGAGTCAAGCAGTTTTACCGGAGAACGTCCGCGGCTGTTCCACGATGAGTTTGCAACTTTTGCGACTTCGTTGCCAATGGAAATGACACCAACACCGACCACGAAAAAGGCTCCTCCAGGATTTACGCCCGCTGATGCGAAACCGCTTGAGACTCGAGCAGCTTTTGAGCGACTTCGAAGCGGTGGCGGGGCGACTTCCTCCGTTCCGAACGTCAATAATTCCAGCAATAGTTTTGGTGGCAACTCCGTATTTGCAAGCAAGTTGCCACTATTCGGTCCGGCATTGCCTCCGACAAATGACGATCGGTCCATGCTGAGCCGTGTTGGTCGTATCGGCAGCGGACGATCGAAGGTACTTCGCAGTCGTGATTCCAACGAAAGTGGATGACCGAACGTATCGATTCATGTAGCAAGGTACTATCATGCTTACAGTATCCCCGTGGTTTCTCAGCCAAAAGTTGCTTGCTCTATCAGAAATCAAACTCGAATTTCGACAGCCAGTTTTCATTTCCAGTTTTTTATGGCGTATCCTACTACTTTGTACGTTCAGTATTCGACGTGTCACGCGGGACTTGTCCGCTCGCGAAGGGACACGATCTTTTCAGATCATTTTTAATCTCTGTTGTGAAACGATGCTGCGACTTTCGTTGTGGTGACTGGCGTGGTCGGGTGTATCGCACTCGTTCGTTTGCCAGCGGAAACACTTGGCCACGACAGCGAGTGATCGATAAAGCTCGCAACGTTCGGGCCCTGCGCCACAGCAACGCCAGCGCCGCATGGAGCGCTAGAAGCGAGTCGCGTTAGTCGCGCCCACCCTCTGGCAGTTGTCGGCTTACTTGGCGCTGGGTAAGGCCAAGTTGGGGAGCTGTAGCATCTTGTCATATGGAACGTGAACGCAGCTTGCTCTCCAATGCTGGACGCGAGCTTTGTTCCGCCAGAGACTTTTCGACACCTGGCTGTCGATCAAATGAGCGACACGACGCACCAGTGATGACCAAAACTGCGTCCTTCCTTGGTAGCAGGTGAAGAGGCAAAATTGCCGTCGACACTAAATGACATTGTTGATGCCTGACAAAGTCCTCTAAACCTGATAGTTTTGGTACCACAGGTTTTTTGCACGATGTCCAGAATATGTTATCTCGCAGTTCAGTGGTGCAATTGACGTTGTCCTTGTCAGAATCAAAAGCAAATAAAGTCTGTAGCATTTATCACAGAGCCTCTATAACTTACATAATTGATGTTTGGGCCGTACCTTTCGTCTGACCAATTCAACAAAAACGGCTGTTGTTCCCACCATGCAAGGCCTCTCCCTCTTGCAGGAGTTTTTTGTATCGGACCAGCCTGTCCATTCGCGATGGTGAATTGTCCGTCATTTTGCTTCTGCGCATTCCCCTTTTATTCACTGCCAGAATTCTTGCAGGAAGCGATCGAAAAAAAAACCATAAAGCTGATCGCAGCTTACACTTTACTGGCGCACACCCAGACTTGCAGGCGTTAATCACAGTAGGATGATGAGGGCGGTGCTGTTTGCCGCCGCCTTCCTGCTAGTAGCGGTCGCTGGCGGTTCCGGTGGCAACAAGGACGTCGAGGTGCATATCATGTCGTTCAATATCCGCACCTCACTGGCCTCGACCGACGCGGGGTCAACGTGCAGCAGCTGGGATGGTATTCGCAAAGACAATGTCATCAGCAACATCGAGACTGTGGCGGCCGATTTTGTTGGCACACAAGAAACTTCGGACGCCCAAAAGGCGTACTTGGACGCACAATTAGCAGGAACGTACTCGGTCATCGGAGAGAGTACGGGCTCGCTCAACGGCAACGCGAACGAATGGAACGCTTTGTACTACCGCTCAGATACTTGGTCTCTGCTTAAGAACGGCATGTTCTGGCTCGGACCGGACCCGGCCACCATGTCGGCCGCGTGGGGCATGACTTACTACCGCACGTGCGTCTGGGGCCGTTTCCAGCACATCAAGACAGGAGCGTCAATCTGCGTTCTCAACACGCACTACGAGACTCCAGGCAACGACGAGGCTCAAGAGAATGGCTCAAAGATCATCCTCGAGCAAATCAAGACCATCTGCGACGCTGACGACAACCTGATCGTGCTAGTGGGAGATTTCAACGCCCTCAAAAGCTACTCAGCCATGCAAATTCTGTTTGAAAACAACATGGAAGACCCCTCGGACGAAACTACGTTCTGCGGTGATATGTTGTCAGCGACGTGTTCGGTCAAGTACGACTTCACGCTGTTCCGCGCACAGAGCGACGATGCTTGTCACCTCAAGTCGGAGATCTCGCGTATTGATTACGATGGTTGCTACTCGTCTGACCACGCCGGACTTATCGGCAGCTTCTGTCTCCAAGGCTCTTGCTGTTCGAATAGCTCGTCAGGGTCAGGATCGGCCGACTCGTATGTGCAACAAGGTAGCATCGCCGGTGAGAGTGATATACTCGGCACAGTACAGGCCAGTGATATCTCGGGGCCTGGCAACAGTGAGACGGAAGCGAGATCCAAGACAGATTTTACGAGCTCTGCTTCGGGGGCGGCTCAATCGATCTCCACCTCATCAGGAGGAGGTGGTGGTGCCTCGACTACGGTTGGTATTATCCTAGGATCATGTGGTGTCTGCGGCCTCGTCGCTCTCGTGGTCGTTAGACGAAAGAAAACTCTCGAACAGAGGGCGCATTTCGAGAAAAGTTACGACCCCGACGCTAGTGGCTATTTCCCCGGCTCGACAGCAGCAAGGGCTGTATCCGATATGTCGGCATTATCTCCTCTTCCCGAGGTGGACGAAGAGCGGGTCTCCAGCTCGCCCATTCCGGAGCTTGTGGCTGTACCTCGAGACACTCGCATCTCGACAACTTCCTCAATTTCAGTCTCTGACTCGGAAGTTGCACGACATGATGACCGAAGCTCCGAGCTCCCTCGTGCCAGTAGTGACCACAGCAACAGCCCCAGTCGACGATCGTCCACTGCAGTCATGGCTCAGGGTATGTCGGAATTCTCCGCTGCGTACAGCAACTCCGTCCTTGATAATGAGGACGACTACAACACTTCTGTTATTAGTTATGGCAACTCGTCTATCTCGAGTTACGGCTACGCTGAGTCGTACGGCAACTCGTCTATTGCTATGAGCAAGGTTAACTTCAGCGAGATCTTCTCGCGCGACTCGGACATGAGCGAGATCTCCAAGTCCCAAGCAGATTTCGCGAAACTTTAAGCTGAATATGCAGTGTTCTTCGTCCGTGCGTCCAGTTCTCAGTGTCGAGATGACTACAGAAGCAACAAGCCTCCCCGCACACCACCCACTACCGCCACATCGACTTGGCGATACTCCCGCGAGACCAGCCACTTAGTTAGTTTCCTCCGTTTATTGCGCGGGTTTACTCCGTTTTGTCATTGCCAAATTCACGAAAACTAGTGAAACATTTTCACCCCATGTTCATCTCACAATTGCCATGTAAAACTTGTTGCCACGTGGAAAAACTCGTCTACTCAACGTTATACTACTGGACAATCATCGGAAGTCTAAGCGCTAGGCTGTTCGCTCCGTTAGCCGCATCCTCTTTTCCTCGAGCTGCTTGTCCACCACGTTGAGTTCTCGTTCCAGTCGGGACTTTTCCTGCATGAGCCACTGAAGGTGCGACTCCATCTCCTGCTTCTTGCCGGCACGCGTGTCCTTGATGGCCTGTTGCACGCGTTCGCGTCTGCTGTCCGATTTCTGGATACGGTTGAAAGCGCGTTCCACCAGCTTGGACGCCTCCTCCAGTTCCGACTCGGCCTCCACAGTAGTCCGCGAGCTGAAGCAATTCAAGCTCATTTTTTTTTGGGAGCTGAAAGGAGAAACAAAACACTTAATTAAAGAGGGTTTCCACCCTCTATAAACCTATCTTTTTCACAAAATTGAAGTTTTTATTGCGTCTTTTCACAGTCATTGTTGTCACGATGGCAACTGAACGAGAGCCCCAGGACTACCAGTATGCGAGCGAATCGTTGGACCAGTTCGCTACATACGAGGATTACTTGGACTCCCAGCTGAGCGAGACCGATTTGTTCTACTTAGAGGACGAGGAGCTGGCTCGGCAGCTTGTAGAGCTGGGATATCGTGGAACTGGCGAGACTCTAAGAAGAGACGACTTCGAGGCGAGGAAAAAAGCCGAGCGAGAGCGCAATGCACACAAGACGAGTGTTCCCAAGCCACTGGCAAGTGCTGGCAAAGATCTCTCGCAGTACCCGTTCTTGGCAGCTTTAGCAAGTCGAGAAGACCTCGTTCGCAATGGCAAACTGACGGTGAGACGGACTCTTCCAGCTCTTCATTATTGCCAGTCTGATAATAACACTTTCGTATCTTATATAATGCCTTCAGTGTATCATCTTCATTCGAGACAAAAACGCCAAGGGACAAGAGATTAGCGGCTATATCGACTACGCGCTGCGTCTGAAAAATGAACCGTTCGAGCCATATTTCGAGCGCAAGAAGAAGCTGCTACCGAAATCCTCGGATCTGAGCTACTACAATTGGGAGACTCAGACTTCCACTTCTAACTCCACACCAAATTTCCAAGTGATCGCTGACAGTGAAACTGGGCTACTGTTTAAAAACAAACGCGACAGGAAAGTCGTCAACGTTGATCCAAAAGTGAGTTGTGTTGATTGAAGCCCTTTTCGTCGAGTACTTACGTTCTAACACCGACAATGTTTTTTGTAGGCGAACCCAGGTGACAACTCGACACGAACAGAGATCAAGACAAAAGAGTATCTACAAGTAGTGCTGTATGACCACATGACTCGACGCAAGACCTAAGCAACAAATACTACTACTTTCACACCTTTAACGCGAATATTTGGATACTTCAAGTGTACAGTATATCACTGTCACTATTGTACAGCTCGAAACATTGCGACCAAAACCTCACTTAAGAGTCAACGATATCAGTGAGAAGAAGGCTCCAACGGCTTCTTTGTCCCCTCTCAACAGCTTCCATTGAGGTACATTTGTAACTTTGTTTTACTATTTCACGAACACTGCAATTACGCGATGGCCCCAATAGTGCGCTCCAGCAGTAGTCGATACCCGTTCTGTAAGAGGAATTGTTGGAATGGCCCCGCTTCAATCGCCTTGAACAATTTCCGCTGAACTGGAACGATAACATCAGTCCGCGGATACTCCTCGTAGCCGTCACTATTCAAGCTAAGACGACGACTACTCTGATCTGTCTGGAAAGATTGCCGAAGTTGGCTCAGTTCGTCGGCGTGTACGATGTTCAGCAGCTGGATCGCGCGTATAATGTCCTTCAAGTGGTCCCATTCGTCTTGCGGTGTACGTCGATTTGCCATTCCTGCACTAGTTACGAGCCCATTCTCGCGGGCAAGACAGCTTCGACGGAACAGCTCGCACTCGATCCACGTGTCCAGTAGACTCTGGAACTGAGTCGTAAACACAAAGTCGCGGAACAGCTTCAGCGTGTCTTCTCGAGATAGCACTCGCTCAAGCAATGACGGTTCAGCTGCTGATGGTACAAACGACTCCTGCTCGCTTCGATTGACAGCCTACAGATGACATACAGTAGTGGCGTTAACAAAACTAGTCATGCCGGTTCAAAAACAATGTGGCAAGCACGTACGTCTTCTGTGATCCAAATTTCGGCCTCATATAAGCGATGATTCTCGGAGCATAGGCCAATTTGGACATGCAGTGCGTGAATCCACGCCACCATTTCGTCTTTACTGCTGGCACAGAGCTCGTAATCCCGCCGAGGAGTCTTGAGTTGAAACGAAAAGGGCACGCGCTGAATGTGACAGCACACAAGGGTGAGTAGAGCGGTCGCCAATTCCCCCATATAATCACTGGAGCTTACCACTTCCGGCTTCGCCTTCGCGAGAACAGCACCAAGCAGACTAATTGATGTTACATCCTGTTGATTCACGTTCGACTTGCAGTACAGCAGCTGGTCTCCTTTGATGATAAACCACCGCTTTCTCCACAATGTCGGGTCCCTGGAGCTTGCCTTCTGAAGGTAGCCTGAATACACACCCTGTACAAGTAAATTGATCCGTCAGAACCAACAATGACTCGAAATACAGTAAAAAAAAAGGTTTTACCTTTCCTAATAACACTGGGAAGTTGATCGACTGCGTCTCTGATGCCTGACGCCGTGGCGGCGCAGGACTTTCACTAATATCCAGATGAGATCCTTGCACGTCCTAGCAGCCACAGTACGAAATAAATTATCAGTAAAAAAACACAATACACATAAAATAGGTCTCTCCAGTCTCCTACCTTGAGCACAAATTTGACCGGTGGTCTGGAGCGATGTTTGGGTTTGGCTCGAGTGGTGCCTCCGATCGTGTCGTCCGCCTCCACTGTCTGCGCCGGACGAGCGCGGTTCAATCTCTCGACGAGCGGCAGGATGAGCTCTTCATCTCGCAACGTCCTCGCAGACAGTGACCCGGCATTATCCGTCGGGAATACCACGACAATAGCGTAGTTATTAAAGTCTTGCACCGGGATCTTGATCTTGGCCGCCATCGACTGTCTCACCTCGAGTACGGTGGTCGTGCTGAGCAGTTTAAACACCGTTGAAGATGTGAAACTTTTGTTCTCAAAGTAAATCCGGGCGAAACCTGTACGCTCCTCGCCCGCAGTCCCCTTGGCAGCTCGCATCATGGCAGCGGCACTGGTAGAGTTTCCTAAGCTACGCTTACGCTCCATGGCTGCTTGCATCATACTAGCTGAGCTGTTGAAGCGCCTCATGGGCACAGAAGCCGATAAACTGTCAGTGCTACGGGATCGTGAGGCCAATGCCAAGACGTTTGAAGCAGACTGAACTGTCTGTACTCTTGGCGAAGTCATGACGCGCTCCTCTTCGTCGATGGAGAGCGGAGCGGGCGGTGGCGGTGCTTTCAGCTCGGTTTCCAAGTCGCGGTACCGTGTACCGTCGCCAGAGTCGAAATAGCTGCTGCTGGAGATGGTGGCTGTAGTCATGCGGGTCAGGCGCTTGTCGAACGGGTCGACGTCTCGAGTGCTGGCGTCTGGCTCGGCGAAATGAGCCTTTGCCTTCTCCTCCAGCTCTCGGAAGGACTCGGGAGACTCCATCGCTACGACCAGTGGACCCGGGGGGAGCGAAGTGGTAGACACGTTCGCGCCGTCGTCGCCTCGGCGTTTCCTTCTTGGTCGTCGTCACGCAACTAGAGAGAGAGTGCTTTTGAAAACGGATACATGATTGGGAGAAATATGTCTTGAAGAAGATGAGGATTGGATAAAAAAGCTTTTCTCTTACCACAAAGACAAAGTGGGTACCGTACTTCAGTTTATGGCATTCTTCTTGCAACACGGCCAACTTGGCAGCATCTTGCATACATGTACTTGTACGCTGGTAACCCATGCTAACTTAGCATTGCTTTTACAGGGTAGACATGCGCGATTGAGTCAGTAGAAATACGTGGGCGATGAGAGCCCGAAACAATTTGAACCAACGGCATCAATTGCGGCGTAATTGCAGGACTTGGCTGCACTTTTTGCTGGCCCCAAACAGACTTTCATGGACTCTCGTATCGGCATTCTCTTCAAAAACTTTTAAGATTTTGAGCGCTTTTCAATTTGAAAACATCGCTTCTAAGTGTATTATGATACAACAGTAGTAGTACTGTGGTTCCAAGTAATACTACTGTAGTACTACTGTAGTAGTATGAAACTACTTCAGACTGACGTATTGGTGTGACAACAAGTATGTAGTCAAGATACGCATATTTTGTCATTATACTTTTGAATCAGAATCGCGCGTAAGGTTATTCCCCTCCTTTCCACTGCAGCGCACTAGCCGTTTCTCTGGCTTATTTATCGACTAAAACACACTCCACCATCTCTCCTTAGAGTAGGAAAATATCGTCCTCTGGTTGTTTGTAGATAGTCGTTCGCTTGCCAGGAACATCCAGCACTTCGTTGATCTGCTCTGTGCATCGATTGTGCGCCTCACTCGTCGTCCAAGCCTCGTAGTCCTTTATCGAGCGCCACTACACAGTCAACAACAACCGTACACATAAGCATATCCATAGAGAAAAAATGATCCACAAGTCGTCCTCACCTCCGATAGCATCACATATTTATGGTGGTCGTTCACGTCGCGCAAAGTCTCCAGTGAGAGCAGACCTGGCTGCGATCGCACGACCTTTTGCACCTATTGCACGCAATCCAACAGCATTAGTACGCTAGGTAGCATCACAATACCAGTGGAGCAGAAGAGCTTTCGATTGTGGATCTTACGTTCTCCATTAGGCGCACGACGGTGGGCTCGAAGCCGCGGCTCATGATGCGCTCGCTCAGTACTCGCACGGGCTTGGTAAGCATGGTCGGTCTTTTCTTCTCTTGTTTGGGTTCAATGCGTCGCTGTTGCCTAAGTCTCCTTTTGTGTTGTGGTGCGCCAGTTCACTGCAACTCGACTTGCGTTTTTCCGCCCCACGCGACAAGCACTTACCCAGCTTGCTCGCATAGTGAAAATAAGCTGCGAAAAGACTGGAATCTGTTTGCGCATTTTTAGCTACAGAATGTAGCCATATGCAAAATTACGAACCTGAAGCACAAGTTGAAGCGAAGATGTTTCGGACCAGCTCGTTGGCAATTTCTTGTGGTCACTACATGTAAGCGTAAGCAACATTTTTGCCGAGGGGCAAGAGGAAGCACCAACTTCGATATGGCTTCGACGTGGCGTTGGTATTAACCAGGCTGATAGTGAGTGACAGCGACTGTTCGAGACGGTCGCAGCAAAATGCAGGGCGGTGATAGTGGACGAGGGGCTGATGAAGTTGAGGCATTTAAACTGCCCGTGGCAGCAGAAAATATTGCGTCGGGGCGACTTGGAGGCATCTACAAGGCTCTGGACAGGAAAACGTAGGTAGGAGTGGAAGCAGGTACTGCATTTTGTTGTCGATCGCACTCTGATAGCGTTCTCTTCGCTTATGTGTGCTAGTGGTCGGATGCTAGCAGTGGAATGCATTGATGTTGACACTGAGGCTGAATCGCAAGTAGGCACCATCCCCGCACAAGCTGTGCAGCGAGTGCTCGAAGCTGACCTCAAACGCTGCGCTATCACGGGCGAGGATGAAGGACGTCATGTATTTTGCTATGAATCCGTTGTTTGCAGTGGATCTCGCGTATACCTTCGCTCCACTTCTTCTGTTATCGGTTCCCTTGCCAGGTACGACACTGGCTTACCCTTTGCTTCTGCTAATAATGATATTTAACCAACAAACCGACAGTCTTCAAAAGGACTTCGAGCGCTTGCATCCTCTAGCAATCAAACAATATGTCTACCAAATTGTGCGTGGGCTTCATGAGCTACATAAGGTATATGTTGCATATTCAACACAGTCAATTGATATCTCCTCTCAAAAGACGTTGGTCTGCTTGCGCAGGTTGGGATTTCGTGCGGTGGTGTACGTGACTTGCCTCCAACTGAATATTGCGAGAATATTAAATATCGCGCTCTAATACCAACGTGATGCTAGCTTTCGCTGTCCTCAGTGCTTCTATGCGGAGGAAACCTGACCAAAGTTGCTGCGTGGTTTCCGTCGACTCAAGCGAGCAAAACACTTCAATCTCAAGGGTGCGTTGCCTAGAAAGCATATTGCATATATTTTTCATTAACACAAGACACTTTCGATCGCGTGTCCTCCAGAATTCTATCGGACCGGCAATTCCATCGCTCCACTTTCAGTTTGCAAGGCGCAAGTGATGAGTTTGTACAAGATGTGCGAAGCGTGGCTTATGTGATGGTTGAGATGCTCACTGGACTTCGTGTTCATGGGAGTCTGATGGAAAAGAGAAGTCTGCTGAGCAAGGTTGCTTTAGACTCGCCAGAGCACCAGTTTTTGAGCAACGTATTAGCACTGATACCTCTCAAGGATTTGCTGGCACATCCTTACTTCTCCGCGGTTAGCCCAGAACGCAACCAAGTACTAGAAACAACGCCCGAGCAGCGACATATTGTCGGAATTCTAACAAACCAGGAGCTGATAAAGTGTCAGACGCTGGAGCGCCAGTATTTACAGCAAATTCGGGCATGGCACACCCAATTCGAAAAGAAATATCGAAGAAAGCCAAAGCCTGTAGACCGCCCTGGTGGCATTGTACGTCTACAAGGACGATGTCAGGCGCTGAAGGAAAGAATGGAAGAACTAAACAATCGTTTGGCTACATCCCACGGTAGCGACTACCAAATGATAGCAGTTGATGATACTCCACAAACGCAACACGAGGATCAGGAGAAATTTGTTGATGGAGAGGCCGGTTCACCAGTAGCTTCTGAGGGGAGTAGGTCGGATTTATTCGACCGAAGCGGAGGAAATAGATCACCGGCGCAGAAAGCTTTTCTGAACGGTTTGGCATCTCCTCAATAATGGTTGTGAGCTACGAAGTACTTCATGACTTAACAAGAGAGTGTAACATTCAGTTCATCAAGTTACTAACAAAACCATAGTAGTTCGAAGTATAGCCTAACATGTTCTACTTCGCGAAGACCTCGTCTAAAGCCTTCTCGAAGATCTCCAATGCAAGTGCACACTCGTCCTCCGAAACGGTAAGAGCAGGCATGAAACGGAGGGTCTCGTAGATACTCGTGGTCAATAGCATCATACCGTGGTCCAGACACGCCGCCGAGATTTTGTTAGCCACGCCCTTGGGAGCCTTAGCCGAATCGAACTCAACGCCGATCATTAGACCTAAGCCGCGAACATCCAGAATCGGGTATTTGCCCGACGACTTCAGTTTGTTAAGACCGGCTTGCAATTGCTTTCCACGAGTGCGGGTGTTCTCCAGCAGATTCTCTTCGGCAATAACTTCTTGAGTGGCAATGGCAGCAGCGCATGCAACAGCGTTACCAGCGTAAGTGCCGCCCATCGATCCGGGAGACTGCGTGTCGGTCAGCTCCTTACGGCTAGCAATACCACTGATCGGATAGCCGTCAGCAATGCCCTTGGCGAACGCCAGAATGTCCGGCTGCACGTCGAAGTGGCTATCGATCGCGAAGTATTCCCCCGTACGGCCGAAGCCAGACTGCACCTCGTCCGCAATTAATAAAATGTCGTTGTCCGAGGCGATCTCACGAAGACCTTTCATGAAGCTCTTGGGTGGAACAACGTAACCACCTTCGCCCATCACCGACTCGATAATGATCGCAGCGGTGTCACGAGGAGCTGACTGCTGCTTCAATGCGGTGTCTAGTTGGTCCAAGCACCACTCGGCGTTTTTTTCTTCGTCGTGGATCGGACCGTGCAGAGCATACGGATATGGCACGAAGGACACACCGGGCATCAACGGGCCAAAGCCGGCGCTGTAGATCGTCTTGCTCGACGTAAGGCTCATAGTGCCCACCGTGCGGCCGTGATAGCCTCCTTGAAATGCAATCACGTTACTCTTTCCAGTTGCGTGGCGTGCCAGCTTGACGGCGTTCTCGACGGCCTCGGAGCCGCTACACGCGAAGAAGAGCGAGTCCAGACTCTTTGGCAGCACTGGCAGCAGTTTGTCTGTCAGGTCCAGCATGGGCTGGTGATAGCCGATGTTCACTTGAGCGTGTACGAGCGTGGCAGCCTGCTTCTGCACGGCCGCCACTACTTTCGGGTGCGAGTGACCCACACTGGTCACGGCAATGCCGCTTGTGAAGTCCAGCAGCTTGCGGTTGTCGGAGGTCCAGATCCAAGAGCCCTTGCCCTTGGTCATGATCATGTCGGACATGCGCCCGATGCCCTTGGCCTGGCTGTTGCTTGGCCATAACTGGAGATGTTCTTTCTGCCGTGAGTTCAGCAACTAACGTTCATTTTTGATGCTTTCGTGGCAGTTCTTACTGCAGGTGAGCTGGATCGGGAAGGTCTAGACTTGAACTAAGAGACGTTGGTCGGTTTGCAGAGCGTACAGTCTGCTGCCACGTCTTCTGATGATTTACAAGCTCTCACTAATGCTTTGTAGAACAATGCTCATCAAGTGGCTCATGGATAGTGCACCAAGCGTCTTCGACCTGGTGGCATTGAGTCTCAAGATGAGTCGGACGACTGCAATTAAGTCGAGGCTTGCATCAAAACGGAGAAGCTCAGTACGTCTATGTCAGCATGGTGCGCTCGGTGAAGCGTATTCCACAGACCCTTCACCGCGCACATATGCATCTGCGACGCTGTACGTGGTCAAACAAAAGGCAACAACTGGCCGTAATGTAGCGAGCGAACTCGAGGGAGCGCGCTGCATCCAATGTGGTCCGATTGCAAATGACGTCTCTGCAAGGGTATTGACCGAGGTCTGCTCGCTGATGGCCGTTGTTCACGAATGCAGGCATACACGTTGCGTCGCCTCGCTGTTGATAGCAGCGCTTACCTGCATTGTATGCGACGCCAGGGCTTCTTTTAGCGCTGGCGATGGCTAGTGAAGGCTGGTAACTGTATTTGCTTAGTGTTTCTCAGAAGCACACCCAAGAAGCTGCATGCAAACAACATTGCAACGTGCTCGTGATCTTACTATTTTTAGGCAGTCCGCCAAGTTCTGTATCATGCCTCAGAGAAGTGGCTACGCTCAATTATTAATACTACGTACACGTGTAGTATTGACAACTGTAGTATTGACAACGACGAAGGAGGCATGCATCACATTGAGATGTATACTCTGTATTTAAGACGGTGCGAAATGCATCCAGGAATGAAGCACCAATCTTGCAATAGCAGCTTCATCAAGTGTCCGTCGCGCGGCTATTTAACACAACGCTTACTAGTATACTGTATGCTTCGTAGCCTCTCAATTAGCTGTCCTCCCAGCCAGAGCTGGCTTGTTGCTCAGCTGCTCATGTAACTCGGCGATCTAAACTCAGTCGTTCCATGCAACAGCAAAAACGTGAAAAATAATGTTAGATTCGCCAGCAGCAAAACATAAATCCCTAAAGTCTATGAGCGCCTTCATCACCACCTTCACACGATTGCAGACCACTCACCTTCATGATAAACTCTTTCTGCTCTTTCAACAGTTGCGCGGTGGTGTCGGCACCCGTGATGCTGGCTCCCCGTCGGCGATTGGCCGCCAACGCCGCAGCAATCTTCTGCGCGTTATTGTCCAGACACTCCACCAGATCTTGTACGCGCGATATCTCGTCGGGCACCTCTGCTTTCTGTACCTTTAGCTGGTTCAGCAGCGCCTGGGCGCCCGTGATGTACTTCGCTGGGTCTGCATCCTCCATGGCTGAGACAAAAGCTGTAATCAGTACCCCGTCACTAAAGCGAATATCCGAGGGTTACATCTCAACAAGCAGGGTTACACCTTACAAAGTTCAAGTTAATTTTGAGATCCGTGTGTATCAGAGGGAAGAACATGTCGGCGGATCTGTTCGCGGACTGGAAGAAGGAGGAGGAAACCTTCAGCGGCGGCGGGATCGAAGGGGGATCGGGAGGGGCCGTGTATGAGTCTCCATATGGCGCAGGGGCGGATACGTACGGCGGCGATCGCAGTAGCAATGACGACTTCGAATTTGAGACTGTGGGCGATGAGGATCAGGCCAAGAACAAGGAGGAAGAGAAACCCATGTTCGAGTTGCGTGAGCATGGACTAAAAGTATCTCGTCGCAGAGGCTTCACGCTCTGCTGTATGGGCGTGGGCAATGGAGTTCTAGCTATGGGCTCCCTGGAGGGAATGTTACTCCGCTGTACTTCTGAGGCCACAGACAGCTCCGGCACCATCGAGGAGATCATGATTGAGCCGCGTGTAGCCATGTCCAACGTGTTCATCGATCCTACAGGCGCGCACGTGCTTATTTCAATGGAAAATGGCTCCAATTTCTACCTGCACACGGGATCTACACGTCCCAAGAAGATCATGAAGGCTCAATCGTTGCAGTTCACCAGTGTAGCATGGGACCGCCAATCCGGATCTCCGGAAGCTTCCGAACCAATTCTCATTGGTACAGACTCGGGCGCAGTGTTTGAAGCGGAATTCGACGGAGGCAAGGAGAAATCCTGTAAGAAAGTGTATCAGATCTCGAATCAGGGACCAATTGCCGGCATTGGCTTTGAGCACTGGAAGTTACCGTCCGGAGAATTACGGTACTATGTCATGTTGACCACTTCGGCGTCGGGAAAGAGACCGACGCGTATGTTCCAGTTCATTGGCGGCGGCTCTGGTGGCTTAGAGACCATGTTTAGTGACTACACAAGTCCAGATAAGCTGCGGTTCCAGGAACTTCCAGGGGATATTACTACGGCAGAACTCCGGTTCTATGCCAAGCAGGAACGTGAACGTGCCAAGGGCTTTGGTGTGCTAACAGGTGAAGGTGTGTACCATGGCGACTTTGTGTTCGGGCTGTCCAGTACGATGGAGAATGTGACGACAGGGACGGGTCTGTTGGCATATCCTGGTAAACCTGAGAAGTCATCGGGTAGTCGAGGCTCCTGGGCGCCTCCGATTTCGATGGCAGTGACGCAGTACCATGTCATTTTATTGTTTGCACGCCATGTTCAAGTGGTGTCCAAGTTGAGTGGCGTGGTGGTGATGGAGGAGTCGTTTGACTCCCGTGTGGGCAATGTGCATGGGATTACAGTGGATGACACGTACAATACGGTGTGGATCCACTCGAATCGGCGTATCTTGGAAGTGATGATCGCTGATGAAGACCGTGACGTGTGGAAACTATTTCTAAGTAAAGCCGTGATGGGCAACGGTGACGACCGCGACTTTGAACAAGCATTGGGTGTCTGTCGTAATGGTTGGGAACGTCAACGTGTGCTGACGGCACAGGCAGACAAGTTGTTCGAGAAGGGAGAGTACGATCGTGCAGCTGTCATCTACGCAAAGACGACACGTTCCTTTGAAGAAGTAGCGTTGAAATTTTTGGAAAAGGAGACGCGAGATTCATTACTTCTCTTCTTGTTACAGAAACTGAAGAGCTTAGGAGGAGACGAGAAGACACAGAAGACGGTGCTGTGTTCTTGGATCGTGGAGCTCTTCTTGGACAAGTTTAACGTGCTTAAAGGCAGTGCCCAAGATGTGGATGCACACGCTAATCTGCTTTTTGAGTTCAAGCAGTTCCTGCAAGACCAGAAGAGCCACCTCGACCCAGCCACGACGTTCAACTTGATCTCCAGTCACGGTCGACCGGATGAGCTTGTGTTCTACGCAACTCTCATTGAAGATTACGAGAAAGTGATCACGTATCACGTGGATCGTGGCGAGTATGGAGCTGCTATTGAGTTGCTACGTAGTGTGGAGACGTCCAAGGTGGAGGAGCTCTGGTACAAGTATTCTCCCGAGCTCATCATCCACAAGCCTAAGGAAGTGTACGAAGCTTGGCTTGAAGCTGCCACGTTGAACCCGACACGTCTCATCCCGTCAATCGTGCGTCATGTGCACCAGAAAAGCGGCGTGGGTGGCGATCCGTCTAGCAACACTACAAAGAACCGCTCGGTACTGGATATGGCTATCCGCTTCTTGAAGTTCGCCATCAAACAAGGCAACCGCGACCCCACTATCCACAATTACTTGTTGTTCTTGTTGGCCAAGCACCCGGACGAGCGCCTACTCATCAGCTTCTTGCGCAAGAAACACAACGGCAAGCATCTATTCGACATTGCCTTTGCTTTGCGTCTTTGCACGCAGAACGAGAAGAACCGCGCGTGTATCTACATCTACTCAGCCATGGGACTGTATCAAGACGCAGTGGAGAAGGCGCTGCAAGTGGATGTGAAGATTGCGAAAGAGATGGCCAGTATGCCCGAGGATGACGAGACCCGTAAGAAACTGTGGACGCTGATCGCCAAGCACACGATTGATGCTGGCGGAGAGATCAAGGACGCCATGAGCATCCTCAAGGAGAGTGGCTTGCTGAAGATCGAGGACATCCTGCCTTTCTTCCCGGATTTCGTGCTCATTAACGACTTCAAGAAGGAGATCTGCGAGTCTCTTGAGGTCTACAATGACCGTATCGAACAGCTGAAGGAAGAGATGCAAGACTACACTCAGTCCGCCGAGTTGATCCGTACGGACATGCAGAAGCTGCGGAAGCGATGTGCTGTTGTGTCAGGCAATCAACGCTGCGAGCTGACTGGCCAGAATATCTTGGGTAAGGAGTTCTACCTCTTCCCGTGCTCTCACGCTTTCCACGCGGGGGCGTTGCGTCAGGAGATGCAGAAACATCTCAACAGTTTCCAGCGCCAGACAGTGAAGCAGCTGATCCAGAAGCTCAATGAGCTGTCCACAGAGATGCCGACAAGCACCAATTTCTTCCAGAGACCGCTCGCTGCCTTCTCGTTCCTGAACTTGTCGTCGAGCGAGAAGGAGGTCATGACTCCTGGAGCTGAAGGAGGCAATCCTGCGGCGACGGCCAAGGCCAAGAATGCTGCGAAGGAGCAGTCTATCGCTCAGGAGCGTGAGATGGTGCAGCAGAAGCTGGACGAGATCATCGCGTCCGAGTGCATTTTCTGCGGCGAGGTGATGATCAAATCCATCCACACACCTTTCATCACACCGGAAGATGAAGCCAGCGAGGGCAGCGAATGGACCATCTGAACTACACCCGTGTACAAGTGAGGGTGGTACTTCAAAAGGAGACGAAATATGTGTTGAACTTTACCTGTTTAGCTTGGTGTTTTGCTGTTATTTTTATCGAGTGTTGGAGGGCGAGTTGTGATAATTGCATTGCGATTCTTGACGACGAGATGCCAGTCCAGCAGCAGGCTACGAGCTCAAGATGTGTTAGCCGCAATGGTCTACCGTCCGAGTACGTACTGTCATGATGAAGATGGAAACGGAGACAGTGCATTGACAGTCTTTTGGAATGGTCCAGACAGCCTGCAGCTCCAGTACGAGGGTCTTCGGATGACATTCGGAAGCGGATGGGTAAGCGACTTGAACAAATCTCCACGCTCACATTTGCTTAACTTTGTTATGGTCTTGCAGCTGATATTTATATCGAGATTGAACACAGTTGGCGCAATGGCCGATTCCATCTGCCTCTCAAGTTTATCGAGTTCTACAAGACAGGTGAGCGGTGTTTAGATATACTACAAGTAGAGAGATCGATGACATGGCTTGTGTCTTCTGTAGATGTTTTGTATCTCTTTGTGCGCGCGGCTATCGGCTATTCGCTGGCTTTTGTGAAGGTGAAGACGTTGGAGAAAGACTTAAGACAAATGCTGCAAGGCAGGAAGCGCTGTGTTGACACTGAAGCCAAGGAACGAGATGAAGATGACCCACAACAGGCCGTGGGGGTAGCTGAGCTGAAGGAGCGAATCAAGCGAGCTGTAGAGACACACAAGAGCTGCACAACCTCCATGTCGGCCACCTATGCGCGTCTGGTTCTTCACTGCAGCAACTACGAGAACCACAAAGAGGACGAGCGCTTTTTCGAATGTGTTTATTTCTTCGTGTGCTCTGTGGTGAAGCTTGGAGTGGTGGCGGATTACTGGCGACCAATTGAAGAAGAGCTGGGATTTCTCTTTCGTGGAGCTCAGTTCAGCGCCAACATCAAGTTGCACGCGACGACAGCCTATCAAGCTTCGACTTCAAACTCGGAGCCCCAGGACACTTCAACCTCGTCTTCACATTCCGGTGCAAGATCGCTTCTTGCTGGTACAGGAACAGGAGGAGGCAGTACCAACAACAACGTATCGAATGCCAGTACGAGCAGCTCTACTTTGTGTGCCAAGAAGATGCAGACTCTGCCTACCAAGGACGCGATAGATCGTCTGAAAACTCCTGCTGAAGCCCCCGTCTTCGAGATACCCAAGTCACGTATCTCGCATTTCGCTCCGTCTGTGCCGGTACGTCGCATTGTCGCCGAGTTACAAGCAACGAAGAATCGCGCAGCTCGCAATATGGAGCTCTCCCAGGCTCTGCGTGATCGCATTCGCACGCAACGCAGTGAAGACCGTCGACGACTACTTGAAGCGGCCATTAGTCCGCGACAGAGTATAGTAGCTGACACGTTGGACGCCCAGGTCTCAGCAGCTACAGATCCTGCTTGTACTTCCCGACCTAACAGCGTGGTAAGCCCTCGCATCTCCAGAAAGATCACATATACCACGCGTTCACCGGCGCTGAACCATCTTCTTCCAACAACCGAGGAACGCGTGAAGCTTGCGCTCAAGTGCGTGTGCTATGGTTTCGAGTTGGCAGTGACTGGACACTTGTGCTAACTTCAATGTTCTTGTCTTGAACAGAGGATACGAACAAGAACTTCATGAACATCGAAGCTCGTTACATACGAGCAGGAGAAAGTAGAAAAGCGAGAATCAATAAGCTCAAAAATTCTGCTACGTAGAAGACAACAAAAATAAAATAGCTGGTAATAAACAGATTGGGTTGCTTTCTCCTTTCGATAAGGAGAAGTAAAACATCGACGCAGTTCGTCCTTATTTCCATCCAAAGCCCGACTGTGAACTGGTCAGGGCTCGTCGTGAAGTGCTTGGAGTTGACGATGGTGCACTGCGGGTTTTGTTCAGAGACGAGCGTCGTTCGTCAGTCGCTGAGGCTGAAGTTCTCGTCGGGGTTCTGGACGATGCTCTCGACGGAGTTAAGGCTGCACGGTGAAGAGTGCGAGCAGGTTTGTTTTCTGTCGACGAATTCGAAGACGGAGAAGACGCGGGAGGAGTAGAGGATCCTACAGCCTTAGCAGACCGTTGTCTAGATAACCGACCAGCCGGCGCACTCTGTCTAGCAGGGGCGGGTGGAGTTCTCGACGGAGGGTGCAGCGGCACCCGACTCTCGGGTGATGCAGCTTCCTTCGTTCTTAAAGACCGAGGTGTTGCCAACCCGGACATCGAGCGTGTCTGAAGAGTTGACAACGAGTTGCGTCGATTATCCTGGTCAGCAATTCTGCTGGCACTGGAGGCAGATAGAGACTTGCGACGTAGATCAGGGTCCACGATTCTGTCACGAGACGCCGCAGATAGAGACTTGCGTCGTTCTTCGCGCTCAACCATCGACTCTGGACGTCGAAGTCGAGATACTGGAGAAGGGGTCAACGATCCAGAGGCTGTACCAGTTCGAGGAGTCCCTGATACTCTGGATGTGGACGTGGTCTGTGATCGTCGAGTAGTAGGCCGCTGGGACGACGTAGTTGTAGACTGCACCGAGCGCACTGAGCGCATGGGCCGAGCCGAGCGAGCTGAGGTCGCAGATGAAACACTGCGACTAGATTTGGCTGACGGAGTCGGGCTTGGAGGCCGTGACGGCGACGGAGAACGAGCCTCTGGTGTATAATCGCCCTGCTCCAGCTCGTCTGAAGCCTTACCACCACGCTGTCGACCACCGAGGAGCCACAATTGCCGCTCTATTGCCTCCTTACTGCTGTGCGCTTCATGTAACTCGTCTCCTTGCTGCTGACACCGTCGCAGCAACTCGTTCAATTGCGCCTCCATCGCCTGCGTCTTGGCCTCTAGTGCGCGGTTGTCTTCCTGCAACTTGAACAGCGCACCACTCTGCACACTAGGCTTCACAGCACCCATTTGCACTTGACTTACACGAGCGCCAAACTGTAGAGAACAGGTTGTCTCCTCCACGTCTGCGGCATCAGGACTCAACTGCAGCATCAGCAGCGTCTTCGCTTGTCCCGACAGCATGTCACGAAGCATGTACGTGAGCTTCGAGTTGCGATACGGAGTGTGCTTAGCTTTGTGTTGCAGCGCGTAAACCACATCTCCAAGAGCAGCCAGAGACTTGTTGATGTGCTGCGTCTCCCGTAAGCGTTCGCCCTCCACTTGACTGCGAGAAATACGCTCCGAGCCAGCCAAATCAACCAAACACAACGTGCTTGTGCGCACCTCGCGGGTCTCACGATGTTGACTCTCAAGATGCAGGAACACGAGCGCATGGGAGCGACTACTCTCCAGATTCATTTTGGTAGCTGCGATGTTTCTGTTGGCGTTTCCATCACGCATCACCGCATCCACTTGTGCGTAGCCATTGACCTCACGAGCAGTAATATCCGTCTCACTCTTGGCCACAGCGTTCTTACCGCCTCTAGTGCTGTCTTCGTGCAATAAATCCAGAATCTGGTCGTTATAGATCTCCACCATACTCACACGTAGTGAGTCCACATATGTCATTTGTCGCTTCTTCACCATGGCAAAGACGTGCTGTAGTGCTCGTGGGATCATACCAGCATTAGAATGCACGGTAAGGCCGTTGGCTCGGTGTTCCAGCGCGCCTTGTTCATTGCCCACCATCGTGTGCGTCTTACCGGATCCTGTCTGTCCATACGCCATGATACAAGCATTGTATCCATCCGTAAACGACGAAACCAGAGGTTCCACCTGTGTATACACTTCTGCCTGAGTGCTGTGAGGTCCAAACATCTGATCGAAGGCAAATTCCTTGCCAGAACTCGCCACCAGCAGATTATTCGGGTCGCGGCATGACCAACGCCGGCGTCTGAACGTCCTCCTCAGTATCTTTACCAGGTCGTAAGCGACAGAACACTCGGATCCCGTCCAGACAGCTCGTAGTACTTCTCCGCCATCACCTCCCTCTCCCTCTTCTCGGCCAGATAGCTCTGCTGCAGCACCTGTTCTCGTCTATTGACGTCCTCTACCAGCATAGCCATAGCGTCCTCCACAGTCAACGCTGTTTCATCTCGATCGCCCTGGACCTGCTTCTTCAACGCTATAAGTTCCTGCTTCAACGTCCTCAACTCTTGCACCGCCTTTATCGCTACATTCTCCCACTTGGCTACGTCGCTTCCTAAGTGAAGAGTTTGGTACCTCAAGAGCTCGTTCTCTTGCAGCAACTCCTCAATGTCAACTGCTTGCTGCTCTGCCTGCTCCAACTGCACTCGAAGCGCCGTGTTCTCCTCTGTGAGGTTGATCTGCAGAGCTTTGGCGCCTTTTACCTTGGTCTGCAGCCTCTTACGCTCGTATTCTAGCTCCAGTAGGCGACCTTGGAAGGCGGCAAGGGAGTCTGTCGGGTCATTGGACGTAATAGAGCTACTGGAGCCCAAGCGTTGACGTTTCTTGGTCTCCTGCTCCTTGAGAAGCTGCGTTATCCGTTCCAACAGCTCCTCGGGAGGAAGCTCTTCGTATTGTGGGACGTGAACCGCCATGACGTCGAATTCGAGTTGAGACAGGACCAGATTCACGTATTCAGTAGTCTCCGCCTGCTTGAGTGGCACCTGAATGACATTGCGGCCGAAGATGACGCGGTGCGCGGTTATTTGGGGAGGCGGGGGCAGCGGATTTAAATCCTCTGCGGCGAGAAGAGCGTCTAGGGACGATGTAGACGATGTGGACGAGGTTGGGGATGGCGCCGGAGACAGCGACAGCGGCCCAGAGGCCTCATCTACCCGCAACGACATACTAGGCGCAATAAAAGCAATAATTTTGAATTTGTTTTTTAGTTTTCAGTTATAACATTTTTGATGTTTAAATTAAAAGATATTATTTAAAATACTTTTTCTTAAAAAAATATTCTTTTTTTTTTTAAGAAAGCAAATTATTTCTCTTTAAGCTTAATTCATGTTAATACGGTGTATTCTTGTGAAGTATCACTCGCAAAGAAAATGCTCCAAATTAATAATTAAATGGAATAATTTGGAGATCATATAATAAAATTTGAGTAAAATTACATAATTTCAAGGACGGCAACCTAAAATCCAGCTATTTATCATAGATAATACCACCTTTTATTTAATTTTGTGAAGTCTTACAATATTATTGTTTTACTTCATATATTTATCATATTTTGATACACAAGCTATTACGCCAGTTGTTTCACTTGCACTCGAGGATGTAAAATAGCTTTCGGACAGCCAAGACGGTCAGCGACATTCTGAACCGCCTGCCTCGTTGAGTACCATACGTATTATACACGCATCGCTAATTTTTCAAATGAATTGGCTGCAATTACTGTGTGTTTTTTTCAGCAATGGTGGTGCAATCTAGACCAAAAATATTGGGAGGGGGGGACAGCCCAAAAAAGCTCCCCTTCCACCCAACTCACTTCGTTAAGAAAAGTGGGTTGGGGGGGGCTCCCTGAAGATCCGCCCCTGGCGAAAGCAACCTCTAATTTTCGTGTAATACTTTCGCAACCCCAGCGCTCGCGTATTAGCGAGCACATCGAGAGTATCTCCAAGAAAATCGACTTTGTCACTGCACGCATAGTGTACGGCAATTTAGTTCCTGCCATCATCGATGGACTGTGAGTTCTGCTTGAGCAGTCCTGTTTTATGACAGCAGCGGTCAAGTCGCTAAGTAAACAGTCGTCTGTTTCCGCAGATCAGCTGCACTACGAGTACTTGGTCGTACGCAGAACATCGACACGTAAAACAGAGTTATACCCTTCTATTAGACCGAGCTCACTAAAAACTCCAAACAACAAAATGGATCTGGTAATACGGAGCCGTGATCGATTAGCTTCGAACCTGGTGACCATTCATAGCGCTCTTACGCCAGTAATAGCCGTACTTGTGCAGAATTTTTGCAAACCTGGGGTCCTTCTCGTAGACACTTTTCGGTACTCCTTTAAACAAGTACTCTTTGAGACGATTGTAGTCCCATTTTCCTTTTTTCCAGATCCAAAACTTAAGCTTTTGAGGCATACGCAAATTCCCCGTTGCCCTACCCAGCTTATCGAACACCCTTGTTTGAATCCCTCTCTCCTCTTCAGTGGCAGTGTCATCTTCGGTCGTCGTCGTGGTTCTCAAAAATCTCTGGTTTGGGTCTATGGCGAGCTTGTTGTTTCTGCACCCTGCGGTCTCCATTGCCTCGCCGATTGCCAGAAAGGAAACGATAAACATCACGAAAACGAAGAAGCTCTTCATGCTGCTTCTTGACTTTAAAGTGCAGTTTGTATGCCCGGAGCGAAAAGCGAAGTGAGCTCCACCACAGGTATTTGTTCTTATTAAACTTGTAGCCTTGCGTTGGTGCGTAGGTAATTCTTGATTTCACGTTGTTTCATGCAAACTAAACTGTTGACGGCGTTCGAATCAAAACGTATACCGGTACTGATCACCAGCCCCAAAAGGATTAACCCTTTTAAAACTCGGAGAAGATTATGAAACTTAATTTACCTGCTAGAATTAATTGTAAACGTTGTTATTTTTATTTGACGTGAAAGGCCACTGAAACTCCCATTTCAAAAGACGGAATATTTTTTCATTTGGCAACAATGGGTCAAACGCACAGCGCTCCTCCGAACGAGGCCGTGCAGTTCCGTCAGATGGTCTGAAACTCTACACTTCAATGCTAATTTACGTATCATCTGAGAGTGCTGTCGCTGTTCTCCAGGTACTAGCAACGTATCGTGGAGACGTCGATAAACTTCGATCCGTTTTCCAGTCTCACCTGCGCGGGTTTCAGATTTCGCGTGCCACGTACTTGGATATCATCATGCAGGAACAGACACATCTGGAGACGTTGACCGATTCATTAGAAAGAGAAGAAAAATTAAATGAGCTGCAGGACGAGAAGATGGAGTTCTTCTCGGCATTGGAGCAGGGCAGGTTGGCACTAGGAGATACACTTCTGCATATTGCTGTAAGACTCGGGCATACAGATATCCTCGACTTTATACTGCTCAACGACTACCATAATTCATTCAAGACATTAGTCAGGCCCGATACTGCAGCTAGCACACTGAGCATTCTGGCTTCGGGCCACTATACTGCTACAACTCAAGTTGCGGCTCCCCCGCTGCCAACAAACACTCCCAACTTGAAAGGTGATCTCCCACGAGATGTTACAGGAGACAATTGCTCGCTGCAGCTGTTGCTTGCAATAGTCGACGACGTCCACGAGGTGTTTGGGTCGACTTATCGTGAAGAAGCGAAAGTTCACCGCTTAGTGCGATCTCTGCGTCGAATCTGGCCGTCGTGGATGTTCGAAGGCCAGCAAGAAGTCGCTGCATTAGTTCGAGTGTTGTACGATGTGCGGACGTCCGATCCAGCGTTTGGTGGCCTTGTACGCGTGGCGATGGCCGTTGCAGAGCGCTTTCGAGTGGCTGTATCACAGAGTGGAATTCGACTAGCGCTAACTCTATTAGCAGAATGTGACGCTGATCTTCATCAAGCACGACAAAAGCTGGTGAAAGGATGGAGCATGGAGCGAAAGTCTGAGGACCTCACAGCTATTTTCCAGCGGTGGTTTCCGCTATACAAACCCAATGGAAGACGAAAGGACGACGAAGAGGAAGAAGCGCGTGCTGTGTTCTTCGATACTGCGATGGCGACTTGGCTGCAGATTGCACAAGACTTACGACTCTTTAGTGGGGAAAATGGCAATTCAAACTCAAGCGTGGAGCATATTGAACTCCCAGATGCAGCAGCTCTCAAGAGATACGATTCACAGATATGGCAGAGACGAGTTTGCCCCTCACCTGCGTCTATAGGTGAAATTTGTGTGCACATTACGTCGCTCGAAGGATATCTACGACTACCACACCTCAGTGTGTAAACGAAGTGCTCAACTCCAACACATGAAACTACTGTCACCTGTCTGGGATTTAAAGTCCTGTCGAGATATGCCCTCTGTGGCCAAAGATGATAGAGGAGACTTTGAACAAATTTCATCCTCTGGCAAATAAGAAAACGATTCGTCGAAGTATTTTTTTTTTAATTCAGAGTTTCAGGTAGCGTGTGCTGAAGCAAGTGAAGCCAAGTCGAGCTATGAGTCGTCATGGCCACAGGTCGACCAGCCTGTTACCCCGTCAGCCTTTTAGAAGCTCAGTACGTCAGCGCGTATGCAGTAGTGTGCCAACGCAGGTGATGTTCGATCGAGAGGAAGACTGGAACTGCGGATTGGTGCAAGAAGAAAGCGACAACAGTGCTTCCCAACAACTCGCGGGGAACGACAACGAAAGTGTTCATGAGCTAGATGGACAAAAATCTATGCAGACCATTGGAGAAATTGAGACTCGAATTGTGAACAAGCATCCGACAAGACACGCAGGCGACTTCACCGACTTCGTGGACTCCGACTCTTCCGACTCAGACAACTCTTCTCTCGACGACAGCGACAGTAGTGAACCCTACGAGTACTGGACGAAGCGAATGTCTTACACCCACAGCCCGTTCTCCAACTGTAGCGGCTTTTCGTTTGAAGACTCAGACGACGATCAAGTTTCAACCAGCAGCATTGACAGCCTTAAGGACGAGAAAATTGTTCCGGTATCGACCATTCCACCAAAGTCACCCAAAACGAAGATCTCCCGTTGCTCTGATCTTGGTCCCAGTGTGAAGTGTGGCTGGACGGCGGTGATTCAAGAGACAGCGACATTCCAAGGACCAACCTCGATTTAACTTCTCATCTCGTGCGCCAGCTAGAAGTCGTGGCTCAAACTCTGTGACTTAGTGGCAAATTTGTACTGCGAGATTCTCTACACTCTTGTGAACCTGAAGAGCGTGTCGATCGTCACAAAAACACTCCTCAAGACAGACAAGAGAGCTACTTTGAGTTTCTTATATCTCACACCGCGTTTGTTACATTGATTATCTAGAGCTGTAGGCACAGGTGTCCTGAGGATCCGAAATCTTTCGGATGGTATCCGTAATAGCGAAGAAAAAAGCGTGATGCTTAATGTCCAAGTTGTCCAGTATTGTGGATTCATCAATAGCCGCCAGCGCTAGCTGGTCCGTCGCCTCGATGAAAGTCATCGCGTCCAGTTCATCATAACTGAGTCTCGTCATCTCCACGAGTTTCCGGATACGAAAGTCACGAGGAAGTTTCCCTACTGTCACACCTTCCGGAGATTTCACAGTATCTCCATCCACGACCTCCGCGTTGAGCTCCGGGTCCGACGTCATACTTCGACGATTCCAGTTAGCTGAGCCTACAGACAAATACACGTCGTCGATGATCACAACTTTAGTATGAATGATCAGATCGAGGTCGCCCTTCACAGTGTACATCTTGAACTTGTTGGGGTATTTCTCTCGGATCGGCGAAACCATCTCGTACAGATACTTCATGTATCCTCCCTTTGAGATCGGATTGGTTTCTGGGTTAGCGATGACAACCAGACGCTGAATCTTGGGCATCACCTCCATGATAGCGTCTAGAAGCTCCGGCACATAGATAAAATACTGGTCTTCGATGTAGATGAAGTTCTTCGCATTCTTAATCGCCTTGATACGTGCGTGAAAGAGGGAGTTCTCGCCACGTGGAGCAAATTCCTTGTAGTGTTTGTACTTGCAGCTGAATGTTCTAGTGATCTGGATGCTCTGATTGCCGGGACTTCCAGTATTGCTCGCATAGCTGATCCGTGGGATATCTTCGTATGGTGGGTTCTCGAAGCCGAGGAGATCATCAACCAGGCCCTGACTGGGTAAGTAATCCGAGTTCCATCGAGCCACGAAGTTGTTGGCCACATCCCTCGCTGCCGGTCCGTGGATCCGGATATGGCCATCAATCCAACCTTTTCGTTTAAAAGTGATGCCGCTTGCGTCGCGAAGTGCAGAATTGTTGTGGTAAATGGTGTCCCAACGCTCCTTTGCGAGATCTAGGCCTCCTACGTAGGCAACGGGCTGGTAGTCGATGTCTGACGAGCTGTTCGATGTAATAACCAGAGTTTTCTGATGGTAAGCTGACGCAATCGTGGGAACGCGATCATCAAACAGAAAGACTGCTTTGGCACCATTGATCGGAGACGGCGGAATTTTGTTGATGAGATCGCGAGCCTTGGTAGCGAATATTTTGTAGCCGATGTTCGACCAGTTGAGGATATTGACATTGGTTCCTCGCTTCACCATATCCGTAAATACTTTACCAACTCCTGTCTTGTCGCCAGTAACGTCGACGTCTGGTTTCAATGGAACGAGCGCGGTCACAAACGCCGAAAGCATGACTCGATCTCCTTTCTTCGTCGCACTCAGATCGTCGTAAACGGAGTCGTAGAATTCTTTCGTCACAGTGAAGGATGTCACTGCGTTGCCCGTCGTGTAAGCTTCCAGGTCAGTCCGCGGTATGCCACCCCGCGAGTCGGTGATCTCTTGCTCAGTGAGAAACCAGTCTGTAGCTTTAAGAAGAGGTTGTCGTACTTTAATATTGGTGCCGTTGGAGAGATCTACATCACTGGCTTCGGAAGCTGAGGGATCATTGTTGGCGAATAAAGCTGAAAACGAAACGGCAGACACGGGTGACGCCAATGTAAGGAGTAAGACAAGCGCCAGTACAAGCATTTTTGAATCCGTACTGCTCTTCGTAGGCCCAAACTTCGGATAAATGAATGAGTGGGGGCAGAATGCTCTTAATAAGAATACGGAAGGACGTAAAGTAATCAAAGCTGATCCGGGCTTCCTTTTGGACAATACTGTACTGTCCATGGACACTAGCTGTACGTAATAAATTTAGTGGTTATAGTAACTTATCAATGGCTGCTCACTGCTTTTAGGCACTGCATTTAAAAAAATCGGAGCCTCTATTAGGATCGATGTCTGGGCCTTCGAAGTATTAATAGATTCACGTAGCGCTTGTACGTAAAATACATTCTTTAAGAATGAAAATGACTCTTCCATTATTGGGACTAACTCTTGCATGTACCGTAATGCTTAAGCACCTCTGGCAAATCACGTTCAATCTATGTGACTCACACTGTGTCCGAAATCGGTGAATTGAAAATATCATCTGGTAGACCAGTTAATTTGAAAAATATCACCTAATATTTTCTTCTCATACAAAATGATATTATCAAAAATCAACTTAATATTAGTTAGCACGATATTAAGGCCGTGTTCGAAACCAGCTGTAATTGTTATTAAAGAGCTGGAATGTCTCAACCAGCTTTATTCCGCTAAGAAACACAAAAAATGACATCCAGCAGCAAACGACTGGTTTCAAAATTCAGCTCTGGGTTGGATTTTGATTCGTCCTCCCTTGCGCCTTCAAATCCAGCCTTTTTCTGATGGAACACGATCACTTATCTTTATCTTTATTTTACTTAACAAAACGACTGTTCTACAGCTCTAGCTTATTTTCAAACAAGATGGATTTGCCCCTGCAAACCGAACACGGCCTAAATTTTTCACTGATTACGTAATCGGTATTGTTCCACCAATCATATGTCGTTAAAACTCGACTAGCTGAAGTATTACTAATCAACAGTGAGGAATTGGAGTCCAATACAATTGTGAGAGTGACAACAAGGTTGGTGTGGTGTGTTGGCACTGCCGAGCGCATTAATCAAGCGTCACAGGCTGCAGGTTTATGATCCGCACGATCTGGACGAGGCTATCGGCAGATAACAAGAACAAATATCTTGACTTCACTCTATCGACTTCAAACAACTGCAGCCGTTTGCAGTTTTCCATCTCGATCGGCTTTGTCTGTGTCACAGTGAAATTCTCGAGCACATACTCGTCAGTTTTAAAGCCTGTCATCACTACTGCTGCCTTAGAGCTTGCCTGAAAGAGCTCCCTCGGTTCACAGAGGGTAAGATGGCAAGAAACGTATTTAAGTGGGAAATATCATTAAATCATAATATTTTTCTAATGTTTGAGTTAAAATTAAAAAATAATGGTAATTTTGAAAGACAATTATTAGTAATATTTGAATTCGAAAATAGTACTAGTACTTTGAAAATATCATTTGATATTTGGATACTGTACCATCAGTGAGACCAATATGGACTCGATCTTAATTTTGGGAACCTTGTCGAGGACTCTTCCCGATCTTAGTTAATTTCGAGAGCCGATAAATCTGAAATGAGGGCTTCTTTAGGGAGCTTTTCAAAGCCGAGAGCTGTTAGATGCAACTCCGGCAGTCACGATTGATGTTCCAGCATCCGTGTAAAACGCCATTGAAAACACTGCTTCCACCACCAAGAGAGAGACGATAGGGCATGGCAGCGTCCTTGGGAAACGGCTTTGGCTTCTCTCTGGACTCGCTCGTAGCTTGAGGAGTCCAGCAGCCGTACGAGTTCGCAAGGCTGAATTTCTTCAGCAGCTAGTCGATGTGAGATCGTTGACTGTACCCAATGCGATTGTGCACATCATCCAGCGTAATCTCAATGCCAAGTAGGTATCGGACTTCACCCATACTTGTCAGTGTAAACTTCGACTCGAGTTGTGCAGCGACTTGAGAGCTCAGCGCAGCTGGGCCCATCAAAAGTAGGTCGTCAACGTAGACTGTTAGCAACATAGCAATGTCGACGTCCTTGTACATCACGTAAAGTCCGTAGTCACTGTCGAGTCTTGTGAGTCTTAAGGTTATGAGGAGCTCATGCAGCGTCTTGTTCCACACTGCCGGGGCCTGTTTCAGCCCGTACAACGACTTGGTAAGCTGGCAAATCAGTGCACCACCTGATGTCCCTTCTTCAGATCATGCCGGAATCTCCATGAAGATCAGCTCTTCAAGTAAGCCATAAAGAAAAGCCGTCTTGACGTCGTACTGCCTGATGTTCCATCCGCGTTTTCGAGCGTACAGAATAGCGGCTCGTATAGTCTCGAAGCGAATGACAGGAGCGTAGGTCTCAAGATAATCAATTCCAAAGTGTTGCTTAAAGCCGTGAATCACTAATCTCGCCTTGAATCTCTTGATTCGTCCTTCGGCGTCTCGTTTCAGCGTGTAAACCCACTTATTGGTGATCACCGTCTGCTGCTTTGCTTTGGTTCGCGCAACGATCTTCCACGTTCCGTGCTGACGTAGCGGCGTCATCTCTTCCTGCTGGCAGCTTGCCACCCAGGCCACTACTGGCTCTTCTTTGCTTGTTTGTACGTGTTCGGAACTGGAATGTCTTATTTCGTATTGATGACTGATCCCACAATGTACTCCCTCAGATGTGCTGGCGGCTTCCTTGCGCGGCGAGAAGCCGTGTCACGGCTCTGCATGACATCAGGCACCACCTTCGGAGGCTCGTAGTCGTCACCGGACGTCTCTGCATCCGACCGCAGTCGACGCTTGCGCTTGTCCTTGGACTTGACAGCGCAGCTTGGCTTCACTTGGTCTGTTGACACGGACGACGGCTGTACGTCCTTTTCTGGCTCTTCCACTTGCTCATAACCGGCTACTAGATCAGGTTCACTGCTTACTAGTACAGGCTGGGGCAAGACGGTCGATCTTGGTGGATCACCGGCTTCGGGAAAGAGCCGATTGGTAAGTGAGCTAACAATTGGCACGACTGGTATCTCGACAGGTAATTTCACATTGCCATGCTTGTAGGTATTCAATAGGAGCTGATGAACATAGGATTGAGAAGCAGTGAAGCGCTCATGACAGAACACATTGCCACTCCGTTTCTGCAGCACACTGCCGGTTCGCAGGTCCAGCAGTTTGAATCCTTTCGTATCCGTCGAGCATTCAATTAGTAGTGCCAGCTTGGCTCGTGGCTCGAGCTTATCACGCGTGGCTGTCCTTTCTGTTGGTACGTGGGCGTGTACCAGACATCCCCACGTTCGTAGGTAACGGCAACCACTAGATATCACCGAACTTTACGTTTCGGCACACCAACTGCGTGAAACCACAGCAAAATTAAAAAAACACATAGCTTATCTGGTATACACAGCACATTGCAGATTCACACATAGGAATGTCGACCAACACACGAAAAGTGGGTCCCACCACAGAAAGACATAAAAGATGTGGCATTGGCTGGCTCTACATGTACAGAGTCTGACAGTGCCAAAACAAATTCAGCAAATAGTGACTTGTCATTCATTAAAGGCTTCTCCCGGTCACGGGTCGGAGATATGCCTAAGAAGCTTGAGTGGAGAGAGCTGGCCGTCTCGTTGGCCGAGGAGGAAGGGCATGAACTACTGGACTCGGGAAAGGCTACTCGTGTTACCAAGGCTAACATGACATCATGCACTATCTGCGCGGACCCGACCAAGCATACAATGAAGTATCAATTACTGCGGTGTAAGTCAAAAGCATGCCAAATAGCAGGCTCCGGCGTGAGTTGTGGATGGAGAGGAAATTTTTTGAAGTGCACGGTGACGCGAATGATGGATTTGTATGAGATTGGCACTCATTTTTCGGTGGCGAGGTCACCCCGCGAAGCAGGACTGACGCGACAGCAAAAGCTCTTTTGCCAGGAGCTCGTATCATACCGATTGAAACCGGTTCGTATTCGGAACGCTCTTAGAAAAAAGTATGGGCTGGAGGGAGAGAGGTTACCACGTCTTCGCGCGATTCAGAACTTTGTCAACTACTATTCCAAAACGCAGCTTGGCTACAACGACGAGCACGAAGATATTACGACTGCGGTGCGAGATCTGGCTTACAAAACCTCGAAAGGTGACTCAGCTCCAATCACGTTTACTTATAGTAAAACAACTGATGGCGACCTCATCGTTGGTGACGGCTCGAATGAGGAACCATTTATTGTGGGGCTGACTACCAGAAATTTGTTACGACTCATGGACCGTGACCCAGGAACTTTTATATTCCACATCGATGCTACTTTCAAGTTCTCCCAGGTCGGCTATCCTGTGCTCGTAATGGGAATTTCGGATCACGCGCGAAAGTTTCACCTGGTGGCGTTCTGTATAATCTCGCATCGAGTGGAGAGTGTGTACGCAATGGCGCTGCTCGCGTTCCGGTCGATTTACGCAGAGGTCATTGGAAAGCAAGTTCGACTGAAGTTTGTTATGGGAGACGCGGAGGATGAACAACTAAACGCTCTGGAGCAGGTATTTCGATTCGACTCAGATTTTGTGTTTCTAATGTGTTTTTTTCACGTCATGAAGAAGGTGCAGGAGAAAACCAGGCATCTTCCTGATACTGTAGTGTGGCAAATAATGTATTAGCGCAGATTTACGATATGCACTTTTCGGCTACGCTTGGCGAACTGGCTCTAGTGACGCAGTTTTACCTTGGGCAATGGAGTTCTCGAAGTGATATTGCCCCATTCGCTGCTTATTTCACGAAGCAGTGGCTAAGCACGCGGTATTCGAAATGGCAGTGTTGTTATCTGGAGCCTGGATATGCAACTACCAACAATCCTGTGGAGCAATTCAATAGAATCATTAAGCGCGACTACACCTTGAGAGCGCGTCTGAAAATGGGCATGTTGATTAAAGTGCTCTCTGAGTGCTGTACGAACGAGTCGCAGGAAGCACGGCTCTTTCATCTGAATCCTGAACCAACAACATCACTTCTACGTCGAGCCAAGCAACTGGGAAGTGACAAATTGCTGCAAGTTAATCCACAGCCTACCGGGTGTCCGAACTCTAACCTAATTCGA